TAGTTCCATCAGAAAGTGTTTTATTTCTTCTCATACATTTCATCTTGATACAGTACGAAATAAAACACGTTGAGACAGTCTGAAAGTAGTTCCATCAGAAAGTAGTTCCATCAGAAAGTGTTTTATTTCTTCTCATACATTTCATCTTGATACAGTACGAAATAAAACACGTTGAGACAGTCTGAAAGTAGTTCCATCAGAAAGTAGTTCCATCAGAAAGTGTTTAATTTCTTCTCATACATTTCATCTTGATACAGTACGAAATAAAACACGTTGAGACAGTCTGAAAGTAGTTCCATCAGAAAGTAGTTCCATCAGAAAGTGTTTAATTTCTTCTCATACATTTCATCTTGATACAGTACGAAATAAAACACGTTGAGACAGTCTGAAAGTAGTTCCATCAGAAAGTAGTTCCATCAGAAAGTGTTTAATTTCTTCTCATACATTTCATCTTGATACAGTACGAAATAAAACACGTTGAGACAGTCTGAAAGTAGTTCCATCAGAAAGTAGTTCCATCAGAAAGTGTTTTATTTCTTCTCATACATTTCATCTTGATACAGTACGAAATAAAACACGTTGAGACAGATCTGAAAGTAGTTCCATCAGAAAGTAGTTCCATCAGAAAGTGTTTTATTTCTTCTCATACATTTCATCTTGATACAGTACGAAATAAAACACGTTGAGACAGTCTGAAAGTAGTTCCATCAGAAAGTAGTTCCATCAGAAAGTGTTTTATTTCTTCTCATACATTTCATCTTGATACAGTACGAAATAAAACACGTTGAGACAGTCTGAAAGTAGTTCCATCAGAAAGTAGTTCCATCAGAAAGTGTTTTATTTCTTCTCATACATTTCATCTTGATACAGTACGAAATAAAACACGTTGAGACAGTCTGAAAGTAGTTCCATCAGAAAGTAGTTCCATCAGAAAGTGTTTTATTTCTTCTCATACATTTCATCTTGATACAGTACGAAATAAAACACGTTGAGACAGTCTGAAAGTAGTTCCATCAGAAAGTAGTTCCATCAGAAAGTGTTTTATTTCTTCTCATACATTTCATCTTGATACAGTACGAAATAAAACACGTTGAGACAGTCTGAAAGTAGTTCCATCAGAAAGTAGTTCCATCAGAAGTGTTTAATTTCTTCTCATACATTTCATCTTGATACAGTACGAAATAAAACACGTTGAGACAGTCTGAAAGTAGTTCCATCAGAAAGTAGTTCCATCAGAAAGTGTTTAATTTCTTCTCATACATTTCATCTTGATACAGTACGAAATAAAACACGTTGAGACAGTCTGAAAGTAGTTCCATCAGAAAGTAGTTCCATCAGAAAGTGTTTTATTTCTTCTCATACATTTCATCTTGATACAGTACGAAATAAAACACGTTGAGACAGATCTGAAAGTAGTTCCATCAGAAAGTAGTTCCATCAGAAAGTGTTTTATTTCTTCTCATACATTTCATCTTGATACAGTACGAAATAAAACACGTTGAGACAGTCTGAAAGTAGTTCCATCAGAAAGTAGTTCCATCAGAAAGTGTTTTATTTCTTCTCATACATTTCATCTTGATACAGTACGAAATAAAACACGTTGAGACAGTCTGAAAGTAGTTCCATCAGAAAGTAGTTCCATCAGAAAGTGTTTAATTTCTTCTCACATTTCATCTTGATACAGTACGAAATAAAAAACACGTTGAGACAGTCTGAAAGTAGTTCCATCAGAAAGTAGTTCCATCAGAAAGTGTTTAATTTCTTCTCATACATTTCATCTTGATACAGTACGAAATAAAACACGTTGAGACAGTCTGAAAGTAGTTCCATCAGAAAGTAGTTCCATCAGAAAGTGTTTAATTTCTTCTCATACATTTCATCTTGATACAGTACGAAATAAAACACGTTGAGACAGTCTGAAAGTAGTTCCATCAGAAAGTAGTTCCATCAGAAAGTGTTTTATTTCTTCTCATACATTTCATCTTGATACAGTACGAAATAAAACACGTTGAGACAGTCTGAAAGTAGTTCCATCAGAAAGTAGTTCCATCAGAAAGTGTTTTATTTCTTCTCATACATTTCATCTTGATACAGTACGAAATAAAACACGTTGAGACAGTCTGAAAGTAGTTCCATCAGAAAGTAGTTCCATCAGAAAGTGTTTTATTTCTTCTCATACATTTCATCTTGATACAGTACGAAATAAAACACGTTGAGACAGTCTGAAAGTAGTTCCATCAGAAAGTAGTTCCATCAGAAAGTGTTTAATTTCTTCTCATACATTTCATCTTGATACAGTACGAAATAAAACACGTTGAGACAGTCTGAAAGTAGTTCCATCAGAAAGTAGTTCCATCAGAAAGTGTTTAATTTCTTCTCATACATTTCATCTTGATACAGTACGAAATAAAACACGTTGAGACAGTCTGAAAGTAGTTCCATCAGAAAGTAGTTCCATCAGAAAGTGTTTAATTTCTTCTCATACATTTCATCTTGATACAGTACGAAATAAAACACGTTGAGACAGTCTGAAAGTAGTTCCATCAGAAAGTAGTTCCATCAGAAAGTGTTTAATTTCTTCTCATGCGACATTTCATCTTGATACAGTACGAAATAAAACACGTTGAGACAGTCTGAAAGTAGTTCCATCAGAAAGTAGTTCCATCAGAAAGTGTTTTATTTCTTCTCATACATTTCATCTTGATACAGTACGAAATAAAACACGTTGAGACAGTCTGAAAGTAGTTCCATCAGAAAGTAGTTCCATCAGAAAGTGTTTTATTTCTTCTCATACATTTCATCTTGATACAGTACGAAATAAAACACGTTGAGACAGTCTGAAAGTAGTTCCATCAGAAAGTAGTTCCATCAGAAAGTGTTTTATTTCTTCTCATACATTTCATCTTGATACAGTACGAAATAAAACACGTTGAGACAGTCTGAAAGTAGTTCCATCAGAAAGTAGTTCCATCAGAAAGTGTTTTATTTCTTCTCATACATTTCATCTTGATACAGTACGAAATAAAACACGTTGAGACAGTCTGAAAGTAGTTCCATCAGAAAGTAGTTCCATCAGAAAGTGTTTTATTTCTTCTCATACATTTCATCTTGATACAGTACGAAATAAAACACGTTGAGACAGTCTGAAAGTAGTTCCATCAGAAAGTAGTTCCATCAGAAAGTGTTTTATTTCTTCTCATACATTTCATCTTGATACAGTACGAAATAAAACACGTTGAGACAGTCTGAAAGTAGTTCCATCAGAAAGTAGTTCCATCAGAAAGTGTTTTATTTCTTCTCATACATTTCATCTTGATACAGTACGAAATAAAACACGTTGAGACAGTCTGAAAGTAGTTCCATCAGAAAGTAGTTCCATCAGAAAGTGTTTTATTTCTTCTCATACATTTCATCTTGATACAGTACGAAATAAAACACGTTGAGACAGTCTGAAAGTAGTTCCATCAGAAAGTAGTTCCATCAGAAAGTGTTTAATTTCTTCTCATACATTTCATCTTGATACAGTACGAAATAAAACACGTTGAGACAGTCTGAAAGTAGTTCCATCAGAAAGTAGTTCCATCAGAAAGTGTTTAATTTCTTCTCATACATTTCATCTTGATACAGTACGAAATAAAACACGTTGAGACAGTCTGAAAGTAGTTCCATCAGAAAGTAGTTCCATCAGAAAGTGTTTAATTTCTTCTCATACATTTCATCTTGATACAGTACGAAATAAAACACGTTGAGACAGTCTGAAAGTAGTTCCATCAGAAAGTAGTTCCATCAGAAAGTGTTTTATTTCTTCTCATACATTTCATCTTGATACAGTACGAAATAAAACACGTTGAGACAGTCTGAAAGTAGTTCCATCAGAAAGTAGTTCCATCAGAAAGTGTTTTATTTCTTCTCATACATTTCATCTTGATACAGTACGAAATAAAACACGTTGAGACAGTCTGAAAGTAGTTCCATCAGAAAGTAGTTCCATCAGAAAGTGTTTTATTTCTTCTCATACATTTCATCTTGATACAGTACGAAATAAAACACGTTGAGACAGTCTCTGAAAGTAGTTCCATCAGAAAGTAGTTCCATCAGAAAGTGTTTTTATTTCTTCTCATACATTTCATCTTGATACAGTACGAAATAAAACACGTTGAGACAGTCTGAAAGTAGTTCCATCAGAAAGTAGTTCCATCAGAAAGTGTTTTATTTCTTCTCATACATTTCATCTTGATACAGTACGAAATAAAACACGTTGAGACAGTCTGAAAGTAGTTCCATCAGAAAGTAGTTCCATCAGAAAGTGTTTTATTTCTTCTCATACATTTCATCTTGATACAGTACGAAATAAAACACGTTGAGACAGTCTGAAAGTAGTTCCATCAGAAAGTAGTTCCATCAGAAAGTGTTTTATTTCTTCTCATACATTTCATCTTGATACAGTACGAAATAAAACACGTTGAGACAGTCTGAAAGTAGTTCCATCAGAAAGTAGTTCCATCAGAAAGTGTTTTATTTCTTCTCATACATTTCATCTTGATACAGTACGAAATAAAACACGTTGAGACAGTCTGAAAGTAGTTCCATCAGAAAGTAGTTCCATCAGAAAGTGTTTTATTTCTTCTCATACATTTCATCTTGATACAGTACGAAATAAAACACGTTGAGACAGTCTGAAAGTAGTTCCATCAGAAAGTAGTTCCATCAGAAAGTGTTTTATTTCTTCTCATACATTTCATCTTGATACAGTACGAAATAAAACACGTTGAGACAGTCTGAAAGTAGTTCCATCAGAAAGTAGTTCCATCAGAAAGTGTTTTATTTCTTCTCATACATTTCATCTTGATACAGTACGAAATAAAACACGTTGAGACAGTCTGAAAGTAGTTCCATCAGAAAGTAGTTCCATCAGAAAGTGTTTTATTTCTTCTCATACATTTCATCTTGATACAGTACGAAATAAAACACGTTGAGACAGTCTGAAAGTAGTTCCATCAGAAAGTAGTTCCATCAGAAAGTGTTTTATTTCTTCTCATACATTTCATCTTGATACAGTACGAACAGGTAACAGATCACTTACATCAGAAACACTTCAAGTTTTTGTATTTAATGTCTAGCCTGTGTCGGAATCCCCAGGCAGCTGTATTGTGCCTGTTGGGAATGGTACCCAGCTTGGGTACCCAGGGTAGTTTGATGATGGTCATGTCAAGAGGAACTAGTGTTTAATGGGTAAAACAGACAGTCTAACATCCGCTTTGTTTGGTTTTCTTGAAGTTCCTGGTGTTGATGCCGTATGACGACAGGCGACTGTAGATGGGGTATTTCAAGTCGTCGGGTATTCCGTCACGGGTTCTGGTCAGCAGCCACGCAGTATCTGAAACATTCAGGAGTGTGAGACCGACACACGTGCATTGTGAGTCTTCTGGTCAGAAACCATTGTATGTAATCCACCAGGCTACTCTATCTCCGTTCTATTATAGGAAACACGCTGCCACCACTTAGTCTCAGAATCGCCGCCACATGGGAGCAATGTGATAGGACGGCTGAATTCAGGCTTGCGTATGTCTGACTGACTGACTGAATTTGGTTTTACGCCGCTTTTAGCAATATTCCAGCAATATCACGGCGGGGGACACCAGAAATGGGCTTCACTCATTGTACCCATGTGGGGATTCGAACCCAGGTCTTCGGCGTGACGAGCCAACGCTTTAACCACTAGACTACCCCACATCCCGCTTGCGTATGTTTGATATGAAGCCGTGATATGGAATAGGTGTTAGTGGAATATATGTTCTGGGATTTTGTCACAACTGTGGGTCCAGGGTATTTATAATAATCGAATAGAAACATATGGGTTAATGATGGCAATACATGGATCAATGGTATATCATTATTTTCAATCAGAATTCCTCCACAACCGACCGACCAGATTCCAACCCAGGACAGACACAAATGCAGGACAAGATTCCGACAATTTCCTTATTTAGTGCCTAGCTATATTTGAGGTAAAATTTGGACGATCTGTGTTTGAAGGGAAACTTGGCTGGTGGAAATTGGCAGTGCCTGAAAGATGTATTTAAATCCCTAACGAGTGTCTGCTAGTTGGAATTTTCAATTTAACATTTAATGATCACGACATAACACAAAGACAATATCCCGAGTTCACAAAGGTATTAATTACATAATCTAGAACTGGGTACAAGAGCACCAGGCTGTGAGCACAACCCCACAGGGCGAATGGTAACGACATGAAAAATGTCTGCATATAACTTACTAGACTAACGCTTAGTCCCTGAGTATATATAATTTTGATAGTAGCAAATACACCCCTTTAAACTGAGAAGGAGCCCCAGTGAGATTCTAGACTTGCTTCGTTTCTGGCTTTAGCATTGCAGGGACGGCTCGGCAGTAGGTAAAATAATGTGGTTCAGGGACTGTGAGACAGACTAGGAACTTACCAAAGTGCATGAAGTACAGATCGGTGCAGGAGTAGACGACGCTGTAGTTGGAGTAGTCGGTCTCTACCACCCAGTAGTTGCCGGGACGCTGCCCTGAAACACAGTGAGTGAGTGAGTGAGTGCATGAATGAATGGTTGGGTGAGTGAGTTCAATCTGTATTTAACTTTGAATATGATAAGCGTACTGGATCCGGTTGTGTGAAGGGCACACGGCAATATGCTGAAGTGCTAACTGTTTGGTTATTTGTAGTTTAATGGCATTCATCGCAGGAACAGATAACAAGATATCAGAAGAAAATATTAAAAGTAAAGTTAGGTTTCAGATAAAATCATGGTTTCTTTAGATTAATGAATTACAATTGTTTTCTGTTTCTTACATATTTTTTTTTCAATTCTTAAGATTTAGAATATATATCAAATCGTGTCTTAGTAAGTGGTCCACTTCTTGCTTGTCTGGTTTGTCTGTGTGACAAAGCTGGAAGCAAACTCACACCAACAAGCGTGTTGCTGACACTCCGAAGGGAGACAACTCCTCATAGCGTCGCCTCAGACGATCTACTAACCATGTCCCCAAATCATTACTTGTGGGTTTTTTAGTTACAGTAATACACTGTTGTGATCACAGTTTCTTTGTAGATATATTATTGGAACATCCACGGGATTTGATACTCACACCAGAAGAACTTCACAAGCAGCTTGGCTGGCACAGAGGGGTCGGGGGCGTATGCATCGCCTTCAATGGATCTGAAACAGTGGTACCATTGGTGGTCTATGAATTGTAAAGAAATGCATACCGTCATGCCTTCTTACACCATGTTTGAGCGAAAACCGTCATGCCTTGTTCCATCTGGACACAATATACATCACTCAGTATATGTATATAAATACATAGATACGATAAGAGAGGATTACTGCTTCCCCGATCAGAAACCATGGAATATATTTTCCTATCGTAAATAGTGTGTCTAACGAAAAATCTATGGTAATATACGCCATTTAGTACAGGTTGATACACTCCATATTAGCTGTATACTGTATGTACTACAAATATGGCTGGATATCGGCAACTTGTTTACCTGCCGCGTCCTGAGTTCAACACCTTCACGTGTCCGTCAGCCTTCATGGAGTAGTTTGCCTGAGCACACTCCGCCCCGATCTCGTAGATCGTGAAGAATCGTTCGTACTCATACCACGTTCCCAGGTACTACAACACACAAAACATGCGGTCAGCCAGCATACAAACATGTGGTCAACCAGCATACAAACATGCGGTCAGCCAGCATACAAACATGCGGTCAGCCAACATACAAACATGCGGTCAGTCAGCATACAAAACATGCGGTCAGCCAGCATACAAACATACGGTCAGTCAGCATACAAACATACGGTCAACCAGAATACAAACATGCGGTCAACCAAACTACAAACATACGATCAACCAGCATACAAACATGCGGTCAACCAGAATACAAACATGCGGTCAACCAGCATACAAACATGCGGTCAACCAGCATACAAACATGCGGTCAACCAGCATACAGACATGCGGTCAGTCAGCATACAAACATGCGGTCAACCAGCATACAGACATGCGGTCAGTCAGCATACAAACATGCGGTCAGTCAGCATACAAACATACGGTCAGTCAGCATACAAACATGCGGTCAGTCAGCATACAAACATACGGTCAACCAGCATACAAACATGCGGTCAACCAGCATACAAAACATGCGCTCAACCAGCATACAAACATACGGTCAGTCAGCATACAAACATGCGGTCAACCAGCATACAAACATGCGGTCAACCAGCATACAAACATACGGTCAGTCAGCATACAAACATGCGGTCAACCAGCATACAAACATGCGGTCAACCAGCATACAAACATGCGGTCAGCCAGCATACAAACATGTGGTCAACCAGCATACAAACATGCGGTCAACCAGCATACAAACATACGGTCAGTCAGCATACAAACATGCGGTCATGCAACCAGCATACAAACATGCGGTCAACCAGCATACAAACATGCGGTCAACCAGCATACAAACATGCGGTCAACCAGCATACAAACATGCGGTCAACCAGCATACAAAACATGCGGTCAACCAGCATACAAACATGCGGTCAACCAGCATACAAACATGCGGTCAACCAGCATACAAACATGCGGTCAACCAGCATACAAACATGCCGTCAACCAGCATACAAACATGCGGTCAACCAGCATACAAACATGCGGTCAACCAGCCAGCATAGCCAGCAACAAACATGCCGTCAGCCAGCATACAAACATGCGGTCAACCAGCATACAAACATGTGGTCAACCAGCATACAAACACGTGGTCAACCAGCATACAAAACACGTGGTCAACCAGCATACAAACACGTGGTCAACCAGCATACAAACATGCGGTCAACCAGCATACAAACATGCGGTCAACCAGCATACAAACATGCGGTCAACCAGCATACAAACATGCGGTCAGTCAGCATACAAACATGCGGTCAGCCAGCATACAAACATGCGGTCAACCAGCATACAAACATGCGGTCAACCAGCATACAAACACGCGGTCAACCAGCATACAAACATACGGTCAACCAGCATACAAACATACGGTCAACCAGCATACAAACATGCGGTCAACCAAAATACAAACATACAAACGCGTCAACCAGCATACAAACATGCGGTCAACCAGCATACAAACATGCGGTCAGTCAGCATACAAACATGCGGTCAGTCAGTCAAACATGCGGTCAATCAGCATACAAACATGCGGTCAGTCAGCATACAAACATGCGGTCAACCAGCATACAAACATGCGGTCAACCAAACTACAAACATACGATCAACCAGCATACAAACATGTGGTCAACCATCATACAAACATACGGTCAGCCAGCATACAAACATGCGGTCAACCAGCATACAAAACATGCGGTCAACCAGCATACAAACATGCGGTCAACCAGCATACAAACATGCGGTCAACCAGCATACAAACATGCGGTCAACCAGCATACAAACATGCGGTCAGCCAGCATACAAAACATGCGGTCAACCAGCATACAAACATGTGGTCAACCAGCATACAAACACGTGGTCAACCAGCATACAAAACTGCGGTCAACCAGCATACAAACACGTGGTCAACCAGCATACAAATCATGCGGTCAAACAGGAACCAGCAACTATCACAATATTTATTGACTAGTTTGTCCATGACATGATATCGTTATCGTTATTGTGTAGAAGCAGATGTGTAGACATTGAATCTGAAAACCTGGATGGGGTGGTCCTGTAGCCCTGTGCATACAGCTCAGGCCACAAATCAGTTGAAGACAAGCAACGTTGGGCACTGAGAGTCCGTGGATGGATGACCGTGTTTGGCAGCCTGACTCCTGAAAGTTCAGTCCTGCCCCACAACGAAATACATATGATACGTGTGGTCTCACCTTGCCTCTGTTGGGACCCGGTGGGGTAAGTCATATGCCTAACAGGCAGCTCGGGGTATAATACTTTATGATACGCCGTTGAACAGCTTCGAGTTGGACACCAGGCGACATAGAAATCCATTATTAACATTAACATGTTGATGATGTCGCGCATTGCTACAACTCGACATTGTTATTCAATCGGTATGTCAACAATGTGTAATTACAAGTGCATACTTAACATAAACATAATGTAAATGTCAGTGGACGATTATACAGATCATGTTAACCAACAATGAACTGTTTTCGTTATGTACCCTATAAGGGAATGCTTGTAAGGGCAATGTATTATTAAAGTCATATTATTTTAAGTTTGGGGGAGCGATGAGCACGTGCGTGTATGCGTGTGGGTGTTGAAGTCCGGCAACTTTTCCACCCCAAAATGTGAAACATTTCAGTGTTTTTGCAATGCAGGTGAGTTCAGGAAGCGTTCACATTACAAAGCGCCGTGCATGTGCATGGATGTATGTGGATGGCTACTGGCAACAGTCACGACTTAAGTTTTACAGCGCTAGGAGAAGTATGGCTTATTTCATGCATTCTATTATAATCTTTTCTTCTGAACTTGTTCAATAACGAATTCGCAGTTTTAGATGAAATATACTGATATCGTAATTAATATGTACATGTAATTGAAATGATACCACCCTCTTACGTTTTCTTTTGAAAAGCATCTAAAAAAAAATACATAATTATTTCGATACAATCTCCGAAGTTCTAGGTTTGTTAGTTATTGCTTATCGGACAAATTGCACAGTAACGTTCCTCGTTCAACCTCTTGTAAGTTTGTTGGTCTTGTTGGTCAACTTGTTACAGTTACAATAAGTTTGAGTTGTCATATTCCAAATATAATTTACATATACTACGGGTTAATTGACACAGAATGACCATGAAAGACCCAACATTACATGTGAGCTCGTCCTATAGTGTAAGACGCTACCTATTACCCGGTTACCTATTGGATGTGTCCTACACCTGTGATCTTGGGTTCGAATCCCAGTTACCCGTGATTATGTTTCTAGGGCACACCGAAACATGACTCTCATTAAACTATTCTGACAATGACCTACTTTTCAGCCGATCCGAATTTTCTCGTGTGAAAGTGAAAATAGACATCATAAACAACTATGGTTACACTTAATTCCAATTTCTTGTTTCAATAAAAAATGGTATTTACAAATGAATTTTAATTTTAAACTTTAATAACATCGTATTTCTATATTTTATGGCGAGGTGTAGGCAGCATGACCTTAACTAAGACGTCACAGACTGTCCCTGCTTGATGAGGTCGTAAAATGATTCACAATGCATCTGGCACACTAGTTACACCTGTTATGTGTTTTTTTGCGCTTATTCAATGTAGTTCTGTAACGCACAATGTGATTAATATATAATAACAAGTCCGTACCAGACCGCCAAACTTTCCTAGCGGGAGAGCCTCGTTTTGAGATTTCCACGATTTCCAGGTTTCCGTTTGTCAGAGTTCGCTGTACGACAGAGCACGCTGCACGACGTGTTTGCAAGGATTAGAAGGAGCGTAGTGTTGCAATATACAAGTGCTTAGATGTATCAAATAATACTGATTAATAATTATGTATCCAGTTAAATGAATTGGTCCCACAATTCTGGACTAGTAATTGTACTAAGTTGCGCAATAGGACGGGACCCAGTCAACAGGAAACGATCCTGTTGTGTAATCAATGTTTTGACTTGTGTCTGTGGTCGTAGGTTTTACCGTGAAGATGAATGTCTAAGACCTCTCCGCAGTTAAACGTCGTGAAATAACTAAAATAATATTGTGTTCATTAGATGCTTGATTGGCATTTTAGAAGATGATATTTGATGAACATAGAGATTTTTTCTGGGTTACATCTTCTTTTTATTCTCGAGTACAACGTTTCAGGGCTTGTTCTGGCCCCATCATCAGGTAAAACTGAACAGTAACTGTTAACTCTGGCCGTGACGTCACAATGCTATGACGACGCAATACATTTGTGTCTACCTCCCAAATGCATGGTACATTTAAGAAATACAGTTCGCTCTACCACCATGTATAGTGTAATAAAACACACTTTTGCCCTGAACTATTATAGTTAAAGCACGAGGACGCTTGCGTTCAGTTTTACCTGATGATGGGACCAGAACAAGCCCTGAAACGTTGTACATGTACTCGAGAATAAAAAGAAGATGTAACCCAGAAAAAATCTCTATGTTCATTGTGTTCATTGTTAACCAGACTCGCCAGACCTTCATGCGAAGTTCTAGGTTTGTTAGTTATTGCTTATCGGACAAATTGCACAGTAACGTTCCTCGTTCAACTTCTTGTAAGTTTGTTGGTCCTGTCAGTCAAAACACAGCAGGATGTTCTTGTAATTTGATAATAGTGAGGTTTCAGCAAACGTTTTGGTCCGTCTCTTCATCAATAAGGAGAACCCTGTCCCACAACGCCTTAGGCAAGTGAGTTTGTTAAAAATTGCCTATGTTTAGCCAGCAGAAAATGGGTACCGGGAGAGACTATTCACCTTCTAGCCCTAACAGGCAGCTTTGGTTATCCGGGGTAATAACGATCAGATTGTGCGCCTGAAAAGGAGCGTTATAAATATTCTCATGATTATTATTTGTAAATATACTGAGTTTCTAAAGTTAGAGGTGGTCTCTCTGTAGATTAGATACCTTTAGTTTAGAGCCGGACACTTTAGCGCGTGATTCGAAATATTCGATCCTTTCCTCAACATATTGGTTGTGTGGTTTTCCCGACCAAGCATCCCCTATGTTTCTGCAGTCAGGGCATAAAGTGGGCGATGTGACTAAGCAATAGTCAAAAGTGCTGCTGATATTTACCTATGGCCGCGACTGTTTACCTGGCAAGTCCAAAAGGATTTACAGTCTACACTTGTTGAAATGAGCTTGGCCCTCCCATACACGTGGGTTCGAAAACTTGAATATTACAACATTTCATTTGTTGAAGTATTACAGCCATATCCCTATGTTAATAAATGCGGCATAAAACATCATATAGAACCAAACGGGGGTGTATTAATTCGCCGTTACAGACCTTAAGTGTTACTATTTTACTATTTAATGATAATTTAGTGAAAGAGAACATTTAACATACCTCGCTCAGAGTAAAGTTGTCCTGCACGGGTACACCTGGACAACGCCAGAGAGCCGGAACTTGTCCTTGGATAGTGACCAGAGCAGTCAGCAAAACCACAGGGAAAACTGTCTTCATCTTCACCGACACAGAACACACTCGACTCTGGCAGACAGATTAACGCCACATAAACTTATCAGTGCTGTGGACGAAGTAGGCCACGTACAATCACTGGTCACTAATTGGAAAGCCTGGACGCCTCTGATCATGAAGGTCGTATGTAGGGCACGACATTATGTTTTCTGTTTACTGAACTTCACTATAGGCAACTTTAACATAGGTTGCCTTAAATACAAGATACAGTACACGATCTTGTTAAAGATGTTCCGTTAATGGTGACTCAGCAATAACTGAAGCTACTGAACCTGCTGCCATCGTTAAAACATTGCTGACTGTGGCGAAAAACGACATTCACTCACTCACTCAAACATTCATACCAGAACTTCTATATTAAACCCACTGTGAGATTTTACGTAACTACGCGAATAAAGGCAGCATTGAAATTTCATTTTGATATCCTAATGGAACAATCGTAAGTAAACTATAGATCTAGTAAAGTGACAATCATAAAGGTCGAGTTTTGGAAAATGGCAGTCCAAGTAAGTATAATTGATTTCAAGGCTACTTTGACGTAACTACGTATCTTGATCTGACAGTTTATAATTTCATGGTGTACACACATTGTGTCTCAGTTTAACACTGGTCAGCAATTTTACATAGAACGGAAATGGACTCCAGCTAGCGGGGGCTTTAAGTGAAACAAATTTCTGTGTGTCGCAGCCTGCCTGGGTACGGACGCTGACATCGGATGCTAAGCGCGTGCAACACCTGTTGATAAGAGACGCCAAAACACACCAGTAGATGGGGTACAGTTTTTGACAATGTTTGGCATGAACAATGACAAACATCGTTAGTTGATTATAAGTCATCATCATAATGGAAACACGTTGGCGACAACAAGCAAAGGTTTTACGATAAATGTTTGTGTGTAAGAAAGAAAAGAAAGTGTTTATTTCCGTACAGTGCATGCGACAATATCTTCAAACGATGCCCAATTAAATTTCGTCAGAATCATGTATTGACATACTAGCTGACATGTTTTTAGAACAAGAAAATATATTTTTGCAATCCGTTGGTAACATTTGGACTATTCAATAACATCAATAGTTTACACTTCATGCTGTTGGGAGCAACAACACAGTACCGAGACATATGTCATTACGTAGACCATTGTGAAAATGGACATTCCATACATACAGGATCTTCTAAATCAGTATCTTTAACAATACAAAACGGACATAATCTTTCATAAACTCTAACATAATAGTATCCTTAACCGATACTTAATTATCATGTCATACTGAATATGTTTACTGAACTAGTTTGTAAATCTAAAATTTCCTTACTATTAATACAATACAATATAAACAGGCTATAGATCGCCCGCCAACAGGCTATGACCGCCAACAGGCTATAGATCGCCAACAGGCTATAGATAGGCTATGACCGCCAACAGGCTATAGATCGCGAACAGGCTATGATCGCCAACAGGCTATGACCGCCAACAGGCTATAGATCGCCAACAGGCTATAGATAGGCTATGACCGCCAACAGGCTATAGATCACCAACAGGCTATGATCGCCAACAGGCTATGACCGCCAACAGGCTATAGATCGCCAACAGGCTATAGATCGCCGACGTAGTATGTAAAAGTCTTTGAATGAAATGGGACTTACATACCCTCTCAGGGGGCCGAAGGGAGAAGCGTCCTCAGCGACTACACTGGGTATAGTTCTTCCTGAGAGGGAATAGCCTAGAGGTTAAAGCGTTCACTCGTCACGCAGAAAACCCGGGTTCGATGTCCCACATGGGTACAATGTGTGAAGCCAATTTCTGGTGTCCACTGCCGTGATATTACTGTAATATTGCTAAAAGCGGGGTAAAACCAAACTAACTCTACCCACAGAGGATCATATATTTGGAGGGTTTGTCATGAACGCGTAACATTTGACGGATGATTTTCCCAAGATTTTAGTTTGATGCATGTTTTGGCAAAACCTTGATGTCAAATATGTGTAATAAAATTTCTAACGGCAGGTTCATAAAATTATAAATATCTGATCATAGGAACTGTCTGTGAAACATACCACGCACCTGAGTTTGGGCCACTTAAACACACATATACGTTGATACGATGTCTTCTCTATCACCAACCCACATGGGCACAATGTGTTAAGCCCTTTTCTGGTGTCCCCCGCCGTGATATTGCTGGAATATTGCTAAAAGCGGCGTAAAACTAAACTCAGTCAGTCAGTCTCTATCACCAACCAACATAACTTTGGATATGTCCACAGTCTACCTGGCTTTCTAAAGACCATTACGTTGGTCTTTTTCCCGTTTATATAGCCACACCCCTTCTCATGAAATCAACAATATTTTCTACGTGTAAAGAAACGAGGAACGGGGGCATTGGCAGCCCTAGGGGACACCAGACATGAGTCCCAAGTCCATGGCCCAAAGTAGTAGAGCTACAAGACATTACCTTTGTATATATTTTTCTTATCGATCGAAATAACTTACTCTCAACATTTGGGGCCCATAAATATACACTACCTGTAAATCAAAGGCTGCCTTCAGATGAAAGCTGCCTAAAAATCTCTGTTCTTAAGAAGAGAAAAATTCTTTGTTATAATTGTATTTGATACAAAATAATTACCTTTGGAATTAGAAACAAAGTATTATCTGCCCAGGTATGCTGCCTGTTACAAATAACCTGACAACCTATCTTACCTGATACCTGTAATAATGTAATAGACCTGTAATTTGCTTATCATCTTGTGTAACAGTACAATAACACCTTTTTGCCAATGGGTCTGGACAGGCACACTCTGACAAAAGTGTATTGAAGAAATCTCTTAGAAAATCTGAACAGTGCATATTCCAGCAATAGAACATAGGAGACATCAGTTTCACACATTCTATCTACATTGGTAATCAAACCCGGATCTTCGGTGTGGCGAGATAACGCTGTAACCACTAGGCTATCCCACCGCCCCTTATCACTTTACCTCTCAGCAATTATAGCATTGCAGATTTCTTCACTTGAAACTCATCGGTCAAGATCAAATAACTCATTTTCAATTCAATTAACAAACTTCAAAATATAGTCATCGACGTTGCTCTCCCCAGACCATACATTAAGACCTTTCAACAGATTTTCAAAACATAAGATCTTTTAGCACAAATGTTATTTATAATAGTATGATACGATACTGTGTTTTGTTGTCAAAGAGTTTCATAGCTTACTAACCACGGAATCGTGCAATATTTGCTGTTATTTTACAAAGTAATTTCCAAAGACCGGTGTTGTTTGTCAGATTGTGTGATTGTCACCATTAGACAAATTTAATGATTGATTTAAGAGTGATCCAACTCACGGAACCGTTTAACTGCATTACATGTGACACGTAAGTCCAGACTCCCTGTATCGTTAGCTTAGCAAGCGCTATTGCCTTTATACCTCCAGACAGAGGAACACCGTGTAGATTTGGGTCCTACACCAATGTCAACACCAAACAAACCCCACACATTAACATCCAGGTTAGAAATGGCCCCGGTACACATTGCTGTTGGATAGTCAGATTCTGGGGGCAGGTTCCTGGGTACAACATCACTACCCGGTTGTGAAACAACCTTTGGCCAAAGACGAATATCTACCGACCTCCGTGAGGTAGTTGGAATATTGCTGACTGCGACGTAAACAACATTAACAGCTAAGGGTCTAACTTTATAAATGGAACTTATGTCTTTTAGGTCTGTAAGTTCTAAATGCAAAAACATAAAACTTACAAATTCAAACATTTGCTCTAAATATTAATCAGGCTGGACATTATAAACTCTAAATATAAAATGAGTAGGGTGGGGGATAAAATCAACTTTTAATCACAGTATTTGAAATATTATTTTATATTGAAAGTTAATGATTTTCATATTGCAATTAACAAAGTCTGACCTAAGCAATAATCATTGACAGAGCAATGTTACATATCCGTGGGCAACAGCTATGCATAAATATTGATAACACGCGCATCTATCACACGCTATCTCCACAAAGGTTCTTGGTCATCATAAAACCCAGTGTTGCCGTAGATATTGCTCATTTTTCTAGAATGTCGGGCAGCTGCCTGTCTTTTCTTGAGCTCGTCTAAGGAATCCAAAAACATTCTGACACGAACTTGAAGCCTTTCATTCTGAATTCTGTTCATCTCACGTAATGCCACAACAGGTTCAGCTTTCTCCTCCGGGTCAGGCGCGTGGTCCAAATTCGTCATCTGAATCAGCTTCCGGCGGGAAAGAACAGCCGATTTAGAGCGCCCGCAGACGAGACTTGGTTTATCGTTTGCTGCTTCATTTGACTCTTTGTCGTCTACGTTGGCGCGAGTAGGTTTCTGTCTCGTTCTCGGTCTGTGACAGGCAGACCTGCTCCTACCTATACTGGAACTTGGAGTGGGCGTCTTTTTCTTGACAACAGCGTCGGACGGAAGTAGAACATCAGTATACCATGAGGACGGGAACTTCCGGTTTGCAAGTTGTGCTGTAATGAGACCCTCTTTCGATATTACTTTTGGCTGTATATGAGCTTTAGCCTTAGACACAACCTCCTTGCTCATCACAGAAGAATCGTCACTGCTACTGATACTACTGCAGTCAGAGTCAGAATCGTCAGGAATATGAACGTTCAGCTTTACAACTCTGGCTTGTGAGGCCGTACTCACTGGCCTCTGCGGGCGTTTCATGTACACCGGGGTTGTCTTCGGCCGTGACTCCGACTTAGTGTGATGAGCGGACTTCTTCATGGCTTCAAACCCGCCCAACGTTTTCCGCAGTTCTTTAATCTCTACGTCACGGTTGATATGCTGACGGTGCTTGTATTTCAGCAGAATATCATTGAATATGCCCAGCTCCTCTGCAAGACGGTCGTTCTCGAAGTAAACGTCACTGTGATCTATTCTTAATGGCCCTTCTCCTAACTGAGCTTTCTTTTTCACTTTATCCAGATCCATATTTACAGCTTCACAGTTCTGGAATGATACAACAAGGACAGTTAAATTGAATGTTGAGATCAATTAAACATAATAATCCACTTGAAATTTCAACTAGTCTGGATACATGAGTATGTGCGTGTCAGATATTGAACTACCGTGGGTGTTGTGTCCATACTCGAGGCCATATTGCATTTCAACTTAAGAACGCAAAACATGCTCCGTCAACACTCAAGTCGTACGTGCCATTGTATCGTGATTGGATTGCCGAACAGACGCATACACGACGTGCTGTAAGTGATAGATTCTGACCAGTCAATCCAGTGATCGAAAGGTTACACTGCGATGTCACCAAGCCTTAATAATGATGCCTTTTAGTCGATTCTTGACTCGAGTTGCCTGGGACCACATATCCAAAATGGATAGAGTCGTGCCAAAAGTATTCGGCACTTGACGTAATTTTCATAGACTTACATGTTATTTCAGTGTAGCATAAATAATTTTCATGAAGTAAGTTTAGGATGGATCTTTGAAAAATTTGACGGTCAAATTTGAAATCATCTCTGCTCTGCGCACATAATTTCAGTTAAATTTTCCGACCACTATTTAACTAATGACATCACATTTATCAACTTACGTATGGTTCCACAATGCAAAATCCCATAGGCCGCCATGTTAAAGGAGTTCACGGCACTGTACACATGTTGATTAAAATGTGGCCATTCGATAAATAAGCAACGGAAAATTAAACAGAAATTATGTGATTGTAGGTAAAATGATTCCTCACAAATGTGCAAATTTTGACTTTGATTTTACGAAAATTAACGTCATGAAAATTATTTATGCTACACTAAATTAACATGTAAGTCTACGGAAATTCCGTCAAGTGCCAAGGACTTTTGGCACCACTCCGGGTTAGAATGAATGTGTGGTTTCCGTGATATTGCTGGAATATTCTGTATGGCAATACTTACCCACAGAAGGATCACTTCTATCCGGTAACCATATGCGGTATTGTTTTATTAATACACGAGACAACGATACAGACTTAAAAGAGCAGTATCTTTGTGCAAAAAATACTCTGAACTATTTATAAAGATATATCCTTTCGTCATCAGCATGTAAACAGACATATCTATCTAACCTATATGCACATCGCAATACACTTTAAGGGGAAGGTGTTCCTAGAATGTCCGTGCAAATCATGCTTCCTTTAAGCTTTCCACCCAAAGAGCACGTGTAATAGCAGATACACCTGTATAACCGACGGACTGCACGTGCAGTCTAATATCTTGGCCCAGTGCCAAGAAGTGTCACCACCTCATACCCTCAGGTTTGACGTTTCAAGATTGTTTTAAGAAATTGATATCTTCACGCATGCCCGCAACCATGCGCCACCGTGACTGGTTGTTATGCATATGAAGAATGGCAGTGTCAAGACATGTTAACGGATGTGTGTTGACGCAGACTTACCGTCACATTACGCTGACGGATTGACTGGGGGTGTATTACGGGGCATTGATCAATTGATCGGGTGCTAACTACAATGTTTGTGCATTCCAAGTGAGGCGGAAATCTCTATTGACTTGTAATCCCGATTTGACACCTTCAAGTCGCAGTTATGGGGGATTTAGTGATCAAACACAGACAGATGGAAGTCGAGCTGGGAATATTTCAACATTATTGTCTTGATAAATTGTTACCATTTTGATCTGCGGCCACTTAAAAAATACCGTTTCTCGTAATGTTTTTCAAAACCAAGCTGTGTAGAGACCTCATTTGGAAAAGGGGAATCTGGGTTAGCCTCATGGTTAAAGCGTTCGCTCGTCACGCCGAACACTCGGGTTCGATTCCCCACATGAGTACAACGTGTAGAGCTCCGGTGATGTTGCTGGAATACTGCTGAAAGCGGCATCACTCACTCACTCCACTCCGGCGCATCTACAGATCACCATTTTTTCAGGTGTACCATGAAGGAATATTTCATGTGAAAAGACAGATTATGATGCAAAAGCGAAATTTGAATTGAAAATGTCTTCTCTTGACAAACGTATTACACGACGGCTGGTTGAGAGAAATAAGACATCTATTGGAACTGGCCCTACCGATACGCTGAAAGCAAGGTACAAGACAGTTCTATTTATGTCATTAGACGTCAAAGCGTCTAATCAAAGCTTGTCCGAGAAGAATTTACAGGACTGCGTCATTGTCGGCTTTACTAATTGATATTTCATAGTAAACATAATAAAATTGGTGGGCAATAAAAGCGTTTAATGCATACATATTTAAGTATTGACGTCTAATATAGTTGATATGCGGTGTAAACTTGAAACAGTCTTTGCATGAAATTACTGAAATCACGTACCAAGATAAGGATGTTCATGACTTGAAACCAAGGTTGGACCAGGATGATTGTAGGAAAAAAAGAATCAGGAGAAAAAGAAACGGAAAAAAAGAAACAGGAAAAAAAGAATCAGCTTATAAAATAGCTTACAGTCAGTATATTGTTAAGGGATTAACTGGCTTCCAATCATGTTTAATTGGTATATGTTTACATTAGTTTTGATAGTGGTACCAATAGATCTATATAAGAGTAAAGCAAGTCAGTTTGAGGTAAGACATTATGGAGGTGGTAGAGAGCAACAAGGGTGGCAAGAAGCTTTGCTGGAATGGGTACATGTACACCAGAAACGGTACAAGAAAGAACAAGGTCCGGTGGAAGTGCTCAAAGAAGTCTAGTCTTATGATATTGGTCCATTATTCCACCAATAAATGTGTGAACTGATTCTGTTTTCCTGTTTGTTTTTTTCCGGGCAAAAATTGATTCTTTTTTTCCGATTACCTACCAGAATAGTATTAATGAAAGTAACAGCCAGGTAACATACACAACTACATCGGTGGTACACAAACAGTCTGATTGATTCCTACCTGTGAGGTACGGCCATGTTTGCCATGTCACCCACGTCTTCCGGACGGAGTCTGTGCTACAAACACCATGTATACCTGTCCAGGTCGATTTAATCACTTATCTCACTGAGACCAAAATATAAATCTGATATGGAACACAGCGTCAACGATTGCAGCTTAGCACGATGACAGACATTCTCACTCAGAACGGATTTGTGTCAAGAGGAACCTGGGCAAAGCCTCTTACAATGGCATGGCCGCAAGGCAACGGCTGGCTGGGCCTATCACGGCGGATATGGCCGACTGCTTGTACTGCTTGGGTGCTGTTGGTTTATAGATACATGCTGCTTGATTGCTACTTCTGTATTTTTTGTGCAACGTGTTTAGAGATTATTTCTTGAACGTTCTACAACGCCAGTTGATATAAACAAACTCTTGGACGATGCAATAACGGTGTTTGATATATAGTCTACAATAGTTTGAACGTCGCATATAGGGGTTGATATAGCCAATATAATGGGGTCGGATATTTATAATATACCCGCTGAACGTTGTACAATAGTGTTTGATAAAAACAATATATCCGCTGAAATTAAAGGTGTTTCATGTGATCAATATACCGGTCGAACGTCGTATATAGGTTCTTATGTAACCAGTATAGACGGTGAACGTTGTGTATTGGGTTTGATATGGAGAATATACCCTTTGAATGTTGTATACTTGGAGGAATTAGGCATATACTGAAAGTGGGGGCGATGTGGCAGTACAACCCTTCACTTCCCGCAGTCGGTGATTTATGTAGCAGCCATTAAGTCATTGTATGTTGAACTTTTTAGGAAAGTGGTTTTTACCCTACAAGCAATTCCCATAACACTTAAATAATTTTGTTTTATAAACACATCTCTTAAAAGGTTTTCTAATAATGAAACCCGACACCCTTGCACTTTACAGTGAAATCTACCAGGAAATACATTGAGTACAGGGGAATGCTATTTGTAAACATAGCTGCTTGTCAAGATAGTGGAACATTCTACTCATGAAATTGGAGTACCATACACAAGTACGTAATGGAACAGACATGGTTTTCAATCTGCCCGAAGAAGTGATCGAATATTTTCATTACAAACAAATCGAATATCAAATATCAATGAAAGACCATTCTCTTTGCTACCATTAGAAACACCCCGATATCATTCTACCTACACTAGTAAGACCACCCTAACCAACACCAACCACCTCACCCCGCCCGGCCCAACCCGACCCGTCCCCACACTACCCCATCCACGTCGGGTCCTACTAGCAGTGTTAAAAACGTTAAATAAAGGGCACCCCACTCATCCGTACCCACACCCAACGTCTTTATGATTTGGTATCTTTCAAATATGCACCGTGCCAGTTGATATCACATGCGAATCTTCTTCCACATAACTGTGTCTCCTGCCTGACGAGTCAACGGCGCTGCGATCTACGTGGATAACAATCGATTCTAGCGGGTCTCCATAAACATATACCCTGACAAATTACCTCCCTTGTTAAATCTCTTGTTCTTTGGCATTAACACCTATCGGAAACATATACACGATTTAACTGTAAGTAGATTAGACTGACTGGAATAATTGATATTGGAATACCGACAGAGTCTGAATTTTGGGTGCGGGTGGTTTAGTGTAATATTCATTAATTCCCTTGGGTAACTGTACGTCAGGCGCGAAGATTTATTTGTGTTTAATAAATAATACATACGTTGGTCACATTTCAGGGTTGTCAGTTCGATAATGACGCACGGGAGGCACAAACATCACGTATTATTTACCCGACTGTTTCTTGCAGACTGGAAGATTGGGTTCAACATAAGAAGTGATTGGCTCCACTTTAGGCAGTGTTAAAGTTATATCACAGCGGGTCAGCATAATGTGGGAGGAATGCCCGGAGTAACCAGTTCTGTGACACCCTGCAGCATGTAAACAGACGTCTAAGCCGACTAACACGCAGAGCAGAATTATGTAACGAAGCTGCACCAGGATCCGATGATAGTTCGAATCCCATTTTCGCCCTTGGTTTGTCACGAACATACCAATGCTCATGGACTACGTAGAAATTGACTTCTACCTTGGTAACTTTTGGTTGTCTTCAAACTTAAAGCAATGAGAAAACTGAAATACTGTTCAAGAAGCGTTAAACACTTTTCCATATGTCCGAGGAATAACTGAGTATTGCCGTAAACGTTTGAGATCATTTTGGTGACTATTCAACCGTATCAAGATGATTCACAATTGAAACAGGTTCTGAAAACTGTGATATATTTCAAGTGGGCAATCACATACAACCCATTAAATGTTTAATAATTTAGCCTATCCATACTGGAACTGAATGCACATCAGTCGTGTGGTAGATACACCTATAGCTCCCCGCAGTGTCGAGAAGTTACTCCCTAGCATGTTCAATTCATTTGAAGACAATACCTTGAAAGGTGTCTGACCCTCTCAACATCGACACAAAGTTCCGTACCTCAAACTAATTAAGCCACCTGGCACGAGTACCTGTTCATATAGATGTCGAGCCGATTTGAGATCATCCTATATCGCGCTATTGTTAAGACGGCGTTTTACCTGCATGCGTGGAGCGTATGTATCTATCGACGGATTGAAATGTACACTGTTTGATGACACAGAGACAAAGGTTGCCTATATACAGTAACTGTACTCGTCTCTCCTGCTTTGATTAGAACCGTGCGGGGTTCAGGAATGACGGGCGTCATACCCTGTCGGGTCTTTTGTTTGTGCCTTGAACACGAAGTACGTGTCTTCTAATGGCTTACAAGTAGTCGTGTATGTTATTAGTAACTTGATTTGTTAGATTCAGACAGACATATTTCTGTAGGGGTACATTAATTTATATCAAATGTATTGTGGGTTCCATTATCTCAGGAGAACACCGTGTTGATACACGTCACATGAAAACAGTTGTTCATATTATGCAGATAGATCTGTCTGTATGATATGTTCGTATGAAATATCGTATGATATATCACGTATGAAAACCAAAAACACATGTGACATTAAATCGTTTTAAGAATGGCGAGTTTGCATATTCGTATGCAATGTGACCTCTTTAACTCGAAGTTATCGGGAACGTTGAATTAATGCTGCGTTTTTCAGCGTTAGAGACAAGTGGGTTTCTGACTGAGGTTTCTGCACACGCCATACGTTTCAAGCGATGGAAAGAGGTTTCATTGCGATTTGTGGTGCATGATTGTCTATTGGTATGTATAACCACGTATATCTCATTGTCATCTTACTACGTGTAGGCACACACATACTACACTATGGTGCTGAAAGGACAGTAACACCATTTATCACTACTACCATAGAAAAAAAATAATACTGCTTCCGCTATCGCCACTACAACTGAAGTGATGACAGAAATATACATGTTAATATAATAATTGCACTGAGATATACAGATAGAAACCACGAATACGATTATACAGTCACCATTCTATCACATCAAACATACACCACATTAGTACCGTCACCATTCTATCACATCAAACATACATCACATCAGTACCGTCACCATTCTATCACATCAAACATACACAACATCTGTACCGTCACCATTCTATCACATCAAACATACACCACATCAGTACCGTCACCATTCTATCACATCAAACATACACAACATCAGTACCGTCACCATTCTATCACATCAAACATACACCACATCAGTACCGTCACCATTCTATCACATCAAACATACACCACATCAGTACCGTCACCATTCTATCACATCAAACATACACCACATCAGTACCGTCACCATTCTATCACATCAAACATACACCACATCAGTACCGTCACCATTCTATCACATCAAACATACACCACATCTGTACCGTCACCATTCTATCACATCAAACATACACCACATCAGTACCGTCACCATTCTATCACATCAAACATACACAACATCAGTACCGTCACCATTCTATCACATCAAACATACACAACATCTGTACCGTCACCATTCTATCACATCAAACATACACACATCAGTACCGTCACCATTCTATCACATCAAACATCAAACATACACAACATTCTATATCAGTACCACATCACCACCATTCTATCACATCAAACATACACAACATCTGTACACTCAAACATCACCATCACATCAATAAAACATACACAACATCTGTACCGTCACCATCACACATCAAACATTCTATCACATCAAACATACACCACATCAGTCACCGTCACCATTCTATCACATCAAACATACACCACATCTGTACCGTCACCATTCTATCACATCAAACATACACACACATCAGTACCGTCACCATTCTATCACATCAAACATACACAACATCAGTACCGTCACCATTCTACCATCCTCTTCGTGAATTTTACCAAATATTATCTTCAGACACATATGTGCGGACGCCAAACAGAGGGAACTTTTATTCCACCATGAAGACCTAGAACGTTAGTTACACGTGTAAAACATTTTAAGATACCCACCTTTGGTATACGTATTCCAGTACAGTGTACTTCCGTGCATCAGTCTGTCGCCGTGAGCATCTCGCCTCTCGGCCTCACGGTGCTTGTGATAACACTGAGGCTAGCGACGCTCCTCACTGAAGACGATTCACATAGACTTGCCCGGGCTTTCAGACGTTGACACCCACACACGATCACCGCGCCTTCGGGGTATTGTTGTTTCGTGCACACTGTGGCCTCCGACTATTGTCGAATGATCATCAAACATCCAATGTCTTGAATATTATAAATATCGAAGTCAGATGTGACTCCTAACTTCTAATGTAATTGACGACGATGTATATCAATACACGTATTACGAATTGATGTCTGAGGAACGATCACTGGGCGTATCAAACGAATTAAAAGTTGACACTCCTTATTACCTGGCAGCAAGGTGGTACAACAAGAAGTTGTTTGATTGTACCTGAGTTGGGTCTACATGATAACATAGTATTTCAGTGTGTCGTCAATACTGACTGGCAGCCACATACTAGTGCTGGTATTGACATACAACCTCCGATACGATACATCACGATGCTACAATTTTAGTCACGACGATATGCCAAAGTATTGTGCACTGAGGTGTACTCCCATTTGTGAGAACTCCCACGTTGTGACGATACATCTTTAATTAATAAACTATAAAACACCTAAAGATAAAATCACACAGGTGGTATCTTCCCCATCCCTTTTCACATTGATGAAATAATTACGTTTAACAGCCCTTTGTTGTTGAAAAATGCGAGCGCTTAGGAGGCATAGTTCATTAATGAGTTCCGATTAACACAGGGAAAATAAGTTGCATTCGTTGAAGAGCAAAAGTATTGTTTCTTCATCGTATCGCAATGTCGGCATTTGAAGTATCGTATCGGGATATACGACAATGTAAAACTTTGTATCGATTCACTGTATCGGGGACCCATGGATCGATGCATCGATGCGTATCGATAAATCGTCACACCACTACCAAAAACACACATGCGTACTGATTGCATATAAGTGAAATAATCTTGGACGGCGACATTAAACACCATGTTACTGTACCTCACTAACTAAAGAATTAAACAGTTTATACCAGCGACCTGGGAGAACGTTGTCCGCTAAACAGAAGAGGTAAGCGTCTGGTTTCAAGACTCACTGTCCAGCAATCGGTGACAGGGACAAGAGACACTGGCTTCACACATTTACCCTTTTGGAAAACGAACCTAAGATTTCGAATGCCTCAGCCTCTGAGCGACCTCAAGATAAACCGGCGGTTGATGGCATGAGAGATGATCCACACACGAACACAGATAAATAATTAAATACGTGAGACACTGGCATGTGACCTTCCAGAAACACAGTCACCGAGTGGCTAGATGTCTTCGAGGGAAACCGGAATATTCCAGTTTGGCATTTTAATTAAAATTACAATACGACTCAGGGCTCCGATTCACAAAGCTATCGTAGCGCTTCGACTGTCGTATCTCCTATACTGTAACATAGACTTACGACAGTCGTAGCGCTACGATAGCTTTGTGAATCGGAGCCCTCAGGGCCTAGATTTTCGAAGCTCTCTTAGCGCTAAGATAGTCGTAAGTTAATGTTAATGTATGGCACTTACAGAGCTTCGAAAATCTAGGCCCTGATCTTTAAGATTTACATATGCGCCTACAATGAAAATTGAATATTGCCTGGTCCCGTTATTCCCGACGTCTCCTGTCTAGGTATAGAAAGTTTTTTATGTACAATCTACAAGTCACTCCCTGCACTACAGGGTGCATTTTGTTTGTAGTAAAATAGTATTATAAAAGAATCTTATATCCCAGCTTTATGACAAAAGATATTTGTTCATTGGACATGCTCGAGATTCTGAAAATTAAAAAATATCCGTTCCTCTACTTATTTCTAAAAGAACAATTTCTCTATACATTTCTCGTTTGTCTCTAACATTAATGTACACTTTATATCCATCAGTTATGAAATAGGTTATTTGCCATATGAAACAAACGCATTTATATGTTGTATTCTCCCTAGCAAGTCTATCTGTGAAGTACACTTCCTTGTAAAACAGATAATCATCTCAAGTGGTGTGCGTGGCATGGAGACAAGCGTCTTAGCAGGGGAGGGCACGTTAATCTTTGATCAATTCAAGATGGCTGCCGAGAAGGCCATATCACATCTTCTGATCTCCCTAACACAGGGTTGTTATGCATGACAACGCTCCCTCGACTAGTCTGTCTAGTTGTGTGTCTGTGACTGTCCTCGTTACGACAGAGGAGTAGCATGATCTCAGGTAATCAACGAGGTGTCGACTGGGGATTAATCTTGAATAGGCTTATGAAACTAATACTCGTTTTGAAAATGCCTCAGCTAGACTCATAACCAAACCCATATCATATCTTCAGGCTTGGCCTTTGCAATGTAAATGTTTCGTTAAGTTTTATAGCGAGTGAGTGAGAGAGCAGGCTAGTGAATGAGTATGTATTTAAGTTATATCACGATGTGGAAATTAAGAAGAGTTTAACACGTGGTATCAATACGGAGAATCGAACCCAGAAAGTCGACGTGAAGCTCAATCGCATTAACGACTAGGCCGTCAAACCATAGTTTTGATAACGAAGACTAAACACGAAACGAACGCCAGATATTGAGAAAGGATTGTTTAGCATTAACAAATATATTTTGAGGTCGTAAATGTCTTAAATAATGCCTAAATAGTTGAAGTATGTAGTGACAGATTCCCAATATGACTTCGATCTTTTAATATTTAATTATATTTGAATCGTTATTTTATATACAGTAAAACCTTAGTATCCTTGACTCTACTAAATGTACGCTATGACACAATCCCGGCACTATGGGCGAGGCAGCTGAAGGTCCCAGTGGTGTTCCTCAGTAGTGTGGACGGCGTGTCGAACTCGGAGACACGCCCACTGTCCATGACCAAGATTCTAAATGTAAAGCAAGGTCACATGAATAACGTTAGTAAAAGCAAGTCATAGGTCATGAACAACGTCAATAGAGCAAGGCCATTGGCAATATCGGTAAAGCAAACCATGTCTACATTCAGGAGAGAAGTTCACCTTCCTTATCAGCACAGTTCGACCCGTGAAGATCGTCCGGGTTAGGAATTGGTCTTTAGCAACAAATGCTTGTCGTAATAGGCGACTAACGGGATTGGGTGGTCAGACTCGCTGACTTGGTTGACATGTCATCGGATCCCAATTGAGTAGATCGATGCTCAGGGTGTTAATCACTGGATTGTCTGGTTCAGTCTCGATTATTTACAGACCGCCGCCATATAGCTGGAATATTGCTGAGTGCGGCGTTAAACAACCACTCACTCACTCACACAATATTAGCACCATCCAATACTTTGCAAAATGTTTTCACGTCAAATCATGTGCACTGATATGAATCACCCCGCTGAAGAAAGTAAACGTTTCCCCGTTTCATAAAACCAAATCCCTTGAAGGGAGAAATTCTTCCTTTGGTGTCACAATTTTTAAAGTTCACAACTAAAACGAACATGGGACAAAGAAGATGACCTCGTGTAGGGACTGTTCTCAGTTGCATTTTAACATAAAGCGATTATCTGTGTTCAGTGAATAATCCAGCGACTGAAGTCGACTTATGTTCATTAGGATATGAGTTATAGTCACTGCTGAAAAAAGGGGAATTTATTTCTTGACGGAGAAGTAAAAAAATTTAAACATCCGTCAGTGATGTGCATTTTCAGATTTTGTTGCATTATTTTCTTAAACTCTCAATGTTGTATGAGTTATCAACCATCATGGATCCATAAGCTCCAGAGGTTCAAAATCTATACATTGATCTATTGATTAGGTGGCCAATATAGTTGAGCGACCTGTATTTCACTACCTGTCATAGTCCATGACGGTATTGAGTCGGTGCGCTATGGTAAGAACTGTGCAATGCGGGAACTCTCGTCGGATGGTGTCCTGTATGACGTTATCCGTTGCCATGTCAACAGCGGCTGTAGCCTCGTCTAGTACCAGGATCTTGGTCTTCTTCAGCAATGTCCTCGCCAGACACAGCAGCTGCCTCTGCCCTACACTGGAGGGAGGAGTGAGTGAGTGATGTGGTATTCATGCAAAGACAGAGTGGCCGACTGGTATTCTGATGGGATAATGGTTAGATTAATGAGTTACTCCGACTTACAGCAGGGTGATATTTAAGTGCATCCGAACATTCAGTTTTACGTACAGTGTGAAATACTCCAGCACATGTCTCAAACAAACAAGTGATTCTCTACAGGAGCATCTGTCCATGTCACTGGGATGACCCATACTTTGAGTTGGGTCTTACTGTGCCTACATATGTATGCTGGAAATCTATTCTATCTTGGGATTATAATGGGTGCAATATCTGTACAAACCAATATTCGCCCGTACATTGGAAAACATCAGTCTTCCCTCACCTGAAGTTTTGACCTCCCTCCCCACATTCGGCCATCAGCTGATGCGGCAAAGCTTCAACCACCTGTTTCAGTCTGGTGTGTTCCAGGGCTGTCCAGATCTCAGCATCAGAAGATTCTCCTTCCGGGTCAAGGTTCATACGAAGACTTCCGGTAAATAACACTGGGTCCTAAGTAAATATAGAATTATGAACGGACGCATAAAGTATCTACTTTTGTTATTTTGAAATCGAAGGAACATCCAGTTATTAAAGTGTCTTGGCAATAAACTCTGTATCAGGCATGTCCATGTCTCACAGATGGTCGAGATTGTATCAGTGGAGACCCATTTTATATACAACTAACTGAGAATCCTTTTCTGACACAACGTCACTTCCGGTTCGCTGCAGTGCTCTGGCGAGTTACGTTACCTCTCTGTGGATTCGTTAGCGGGCGAGGGTGAAGCTGACGGCTTTTTGACACCGTTTAATCTCTCGGTATTAATTAACCACAAGCTTTTTTAAGATCCGTGAAGATCCGGGGTAGAATAGGTCTTCAGCAACCCATGCTTGCCACAAAAGGCGACTATGCTTGTTGTAAGAGGCGACTAACGGGGTCGGGTGGTCAGGCTCGCTGACTTGGTTGACACATGTCATCGGTTCTCAATTGCACAGATCGATGCTCATGCTGTTAATCACTGGATTGTCTGGTCCAGACTCGATTATTTACAGACCGCCGCCATACAGCTGGAATATTGCTGAGTGCGGCGTAAAACTTAACTCACTCACTCGCTCACAAGTTGTTTTTAAGAATGAACTTGGTGTTCCGCTTAAGACTAACCACACGTCTTTCATATGTAATGGTTAAAAGAGTAAAAAAAACAAGTATATTCGTAACAAATATATAGTACCTGGGGTATAACTGCAATCTTTGACCTCAGTTCGTCGAGTTCAAGTGTTGAAATATCGATACCGTCCACAAAGATGGCACCCTCGGTTGGTTTGAATAGACGGAACAGGGAGAGCATCAGTGAAGACTTCCCTGCGCCAGTTCTCCCCACGATGCCAATCTGTTGAACAAATAGATACATCAGACGTAACATAGCAGGGCACTATCACACAAATGATCACAATCACAGTGAAACGAATTATCACCGAATCCTGACACATCCAAGGGATGTAACTAAATGGGGTAACCCTGTATCTTAGAAATTTATTTTGGTATGAGCATAGAATGAATGAATATTGTTTTACTCCGTTTTTAGCAATGCTATAAATATCACAGTGGGGAACACCGGAAAAGGGCTTTGCACATTTCAGTCAAGAGGTAAATCAAACTTAATATATACATATATATATATAAACAAGTGATTTCTGCTGGTGTATAAGCAATAAATATATAAAATATGAGTCCAGATATTTCTTCTTGCCAAATCTCCTTTATATCTGCTTTCGCCGTTCAACGGCTCTTCTTCCAACTTCTTAACGTCATACATGACGACACTCAACTTTCATTGTACACCTGAAGAAGGAAGTGAAGTAGCCTGATGATTAAAAAGCGTTCACTCAGAAGGCTCGAGTTTGATTTACCTCTTGGCTGAAATGTGCAAAACCCATTTCTGGTGATATTTATAGCATTGCTAAAAACGGAGTAAAACAATATTAATTCACTCTATGCTCATACCAAAATATATTCTAAATATATATATATATATATATATAAAGGAGTAACGTGACTTGTTCAACAAATTCTGTGGATATACAACTTCTTCATATAATAATAATATATATCATATGAGCGACGTTTCGGTGTAGCTTCTAGCACCGTTATCAAGCAAGTGATATGCCACTTAAAGAAGTGACTTGTTGTAGTTGATAAAAGAACTGTCACCTTCTCGCAATGTTTGACCTTGAAGCTGACATCCTTCAGGACCAGATCGAGGCCTTCCCTGTATCTGAGACTGAGCTTCCGGAACTCTATGTCCCCATGTCGAGGCCAGTCGAGAGGTGGCGGTAGACCCCGCCTGGTCCACGTGGCCTGTAATGACGATTTACGATACCCGATCAGAAGGAAAACAGTTATTGCTACGGAGTTCTGAGGACATTTTATGCCTTCGCCCGGCCAATGAGCTCACCCGGCTTACCAGATCAGGAAAGAGACAGTCGGAGTGTGTTTTCTAATAATGCAAGCTGGAAAAGCTATTCGATATTCCGACAGTGGGTGGCTGTATGACTGATTCCATCAACATCGTTATCTAACTCTCGTTTCATCGGGATAAACATTTGAACAGAAGACGTTACAGAGTCCGTTGGACCTACTCTCATACCGCCTCAGCCATCTGTGACATCACAGGATGTTTGGGGTTTTCCTTTAGTTTTCAAATTTTGAAAGAAGTCTCCAATGTCGTATATAGCTGAAAAAAAGAAACTGTTTTCTGACTGGCTAATGCAGATTTCTTTCAGATTCATTCTCGTGAAAGGTTATTCTAACATAACCTGTAATGGGATGTCGAGAAGTAAGGTCAGTTTTCTGTGAGACAGTAGACTGCCATGGCTAAACTTGTTAAACCCATTTCAGCAATATGACCTTAACCTTGACCTTACTCTGCGTGACCAGGGATCACTGTAGATCACGCCTACTTCATATCACATATACATGTCAGTATACCACGCCTACTTCATATCACATATACATGTCAGTATACCACATATATCACATATGTCAGTATACCACGCCTACTTCATATCACATATACATGTCAGTATACCACGCCTACTTCATATCACATATACATGTCAGTATACCACGCCTACTTCATATCACATATACGTGACAGTATACCACGCCTACTTCATATCACATATACATGTCAGTATACCACGCCTACTGAACGTGGCCTTGAATCACATGAATATGTAACTAGACTCTTGGGCACGATGCCGTCAGCTGTACGAGCCTTGTTTACCTCAGTAGGACTGGTGGTGTACTGGAAGATCCTCTCCAAGGACACACTGTACATAATGCCGTCAGCTGTACGAGCCTTGCTTACCTCAGTAGGTCTGGTGGTGTACTGGAAGATCCTCTCCAAGGACACACTGTACATAATGCCGTCAGCTGTACGAGCCTGGTTTACCTCAGGAGGACTGGTGGTGTACTGGAAGATCCTCTCCAAGGACACACTGTACATAATGCCATCAGCTGTACGAGCCTTGCTTACCTCAGTAGGACTGGTGGTGTACTGGAAGACCCTCTCCAAGGACACACTGTACATAAAGCCGTCAGCTGTACGAGCCTTGCACACTTACATCAGTAGGGCTGGTGGTGTACTGGAAGATCCTCTCCAAGGACACACTGTACATAATGCCGTCAGCTGTACGAGCCTTGCTTACCTCAGTAGGTCTGGTGGTGTACTGGAAGATCCTCTCCAAGGACACGCTGTACATAATGCCGTCAGCTGTACGAGCCTTGCTTACCTCAGTAGGTCTGGTGGTGTACTGGAAGATCCTCTCCAAGGACACACTGTACATAATGCCGTCAGCTGTACGAGCCTTGCTTACCTCAGTAGGACTGGTGGTGTACTGGAAGATCCTCTCCAAGGACACACTGTACATAATGCCGTCAGCTGTACGAGCCTTGCTTACCTCAGTAGGTCTGGTGGTGTACTGGAAGATCCTCTCCAAGGACACACTGTACATAATGCCATCAGCTGTACGAGTCTTGCTTACCTCAGTAGGACTGGTGGTGTACTGGAAGATCCTCTCCAAGGACACACTGTACATAATGCCGTCAGCTGTACGAGCCTTGTTTACACTGGACACACTACATAATGCCAGCTACGAGTCTTGCTTACGGACTGGTGGTGTACTGGAAGACTGTGTATAATGCCGTCAGCTGTACGAGCCATGCTTACCTCAGTAGGACTGGTGGTGTACTGGAAGATCCTCTCCAAGGACACACTGTACACCTCAAGGCGGGTGGTGTTGACGATGAACCAGACCAGTTTACTGCCGAACTGATGGACAGAACATTACGTGAACAGATTGATGGTGTTGTTTATCTCAGAGCGGCATTGTTTAATTAAACATTTAAAAAAGGACGTATCAAGTCTACCCTCACTGACCGATGCGCACTTTATAACTGGCCTAAAATATATCGGTTATTTAATATTCAAGCGGTGTTTTTCGTTATACTTACAGAGTTACTCAAACGGAAAATTAATAGGGACAAGTTCGTTTGAGAAACTAGCAGATAGAACAACAATAGTAAAGTAACGAATGCCTAACAAATTGCACTGTAGGTCAGATGTCAGAGGCCAGGAATACTTAAAGTGAAAGTTAGTTTCTGGAATGCCTCGAGAATTATGTCATGCCAGCGCCGTCTGTTCGTAGATCGTATTTACCCCAGCAGAAAAGAGATAGTTCCCGGACAATGGAGGATGACCAATGCCTACCTCGACGGCGAATGAGACAATGAGCCCGACGCTCCCCCCGGTAACGACATCCCGTCCCAGACACAGCGTGGTGATGGCGGTGGTCAGGATGATGTTGCCAATGAAATTCAGTCGGACACTCAGCCATCTTGAAAAACAAAGGTGAGTGAGTTTGGACTTACTCTGCTGTAAGCACTATTCCACGAATGCTCCGACTGGGGACACCAGGCATAGTTGTATCATCATTGGGGGTTGAACCCGAGACTTTGGCGTGACGTTTTCGTTCCCTGTCACACCCTAGAATGTTGATGAAGCTTTTATATATTGTAACTACATTTTTGCTTTTAATTGAATAATAAGTATGTTTGCCTGAACTGCGGACATGGCCAACCCATTACACAGTTAGGTGTGGGTTTGACCTCCCCACTGCACAGTTAGCTGTTGATATTACCTTCCTGCTCCAGTTAGCTGAAAATATTACCTTCCTATTCCACAGTTAGCTGAGTATATTACCTTCCTATTCCACAGTTAGCTGAGTATATTACCTTCCTGCTCCAGTTAGCTGAAAATATTACGTTCCGATTCCACAGTTAGCTGAATATAATACCTTCCTATTCCGCAGTAAGCCTACCTATCTCACAGTTAGCTGAATATATTACCTACCTATTCCACAGTTAGCTGTTGATATTACCTTCCTATTCCACAGTAAGCTGAAAACATTACCTACCTATCTCACAGTTAGCTGAATATATTACCTACCTATTCCACAGTTAGCTGTTGATATTACCTTCCTATTCCACAGTAAGCTGAAAACATTACCTACCTATCTCACAGTTAGCTGAATATATTACCTACCTATTCCACAGTTAGCTGACTATGTGACTTACCTATTGCACAATGCGCTGAAGAACGAAAATTTACAGTTGGAGTCAACCTTTCTGGCAAATGTCTTCCAAAACCCGGCCCTTGCTGCAAGTGCCCTGATGACAGAGGTGCCAGACACTGCCTCGTTGAAGAAACTGATGACTGGGGCCTGGCTTACTGATGCCAACCTCGTCAGCTGCCTGGTGGTGCTGATGTATCCCCGCTGGTGGAGGAGTATTGGACGTGGTACGACAGCATGAAATACTTCCACATTTTGTTTAGTTATGAAGAATTAATAAAATAATGTTCAAAATGGAAAAATCAGAAAAGGGTATCTAGTAATGTTTTTATGCCAGTTAAACAATTGGTTTTGCGAAACCCTATACCACTTCAAATTGTTTACACCTGTCCACCTGGCAGTTTCACCTTCTATCCACTGAAATAACTACACCTCTGACGGGCCTGCGATATATTGTCAAGAATACGTCTTTTAGTTTCCAAGATACACTATTGATGCTTGGAATCCCAAACTGGCCTGGATTATGAATTTTGGTGACTAAAACATGCACATTTTTGTATTTCTACCACTTTAAGCGGATAGAATATGGAGGTATTTATATAACTGGTTTCGGGTGTCTTTAGTGGATGGCAAATATCAAGTATTAACTATTAATAATGGTGTTACTTCCAAATACAGGATATGTTTCCTCTCCAAACACATAAACGCTATAACCGCAGGTGTTAAAGCACAGACACGTTACACTAGTCTCGGGTACGTCCCTGTCAGAGATTGCCTTTCTGGGTGATTGGGGATAGCCTAGCGGTTAAAGAGTTCGCTCGTGGCGCCGAAAAGCTTGGTTTGATTACCGATATGGATACAGAGTGTGAAACCCATTTAACGTGTCTCCCGTCGTGAAATTGATGGGAATTTGGTAAAATCATTCTCAGTAAGACTTTCACTCACATTTACTTTTGTTTACCTGAACAGTGAGGGAGAGAGTAAGCGAGTTAAAATTTACAATCACATCGGCATTATTTCTGCCATATCGTGACTAAAACAAATTAATGGTATATATAATTTCACTATTAAATATGTCGGAAAAGCACAGAAAAAGAAACCACATATCACAGATAAAAACTCAGATTTAGTAATCACTTAAAATAACAAACATATACAAAATAAAAATATGAATGGTTTACCTGAACAGACAGAAATACAAAGAACATTGGTATGATAGTAGCCAGGGCGGACGGTGCGACGTAGCAGATCATAAGGAGACCACCGACGACGTTGCCCATGCCGTTGAGCCAGCCGTCCAAAGTGTTGGTCATGTCGATGTCCACCGCCCCTAGGTCGCCTGAGAACCTGGACATTATGCGGCCAATGGGTGTGGTGTCATAGAAGGACATGGGTGATCTGAGGACGTTCTGCAACAACTGGTGGTGGAGTGTCCTGCCCGCCGAGATTAACACCCTGCCCTGGCAGTAGGTGTAGGTCACCAACAGGACGGCTGGGGAGCAAGTGGATGGTAGCTTCCAGAATATTTTGTCAGCTATAATAGACTGTACAACCTCACAAAAGTTAGTTTGACACATCTCCACATCACCGACACCCAAAATCCCACACCCACTGTACCCTCCCAGTCCTCATAGAAACATAAGGAACTCAGTTACATCTCACATAGACTAAGCGATACGAACTTCTTCTCTTCCTGGAGTTCCTTTAAAAAAACCTTAGTATTAACTTTAAATAATGTTTTAAATCGGATTCTAAATTCTAGTTACAGTACCTTGTAAAACACCAAGACCTGTATAGCCAGCGAGGTAATACTGAGTCCGTCTCCATTTGAGAGAGTCCGAAGTAGTTGTGTGATTATACGTATCATCGCCAGCCGCCCCGCCCCGGGTAGTGGTAGGTGGGGCGGAGAGGCCTCTGAGTGCTGGGTCTTCCACCCACTGGGTTAGCCATATGTGGGCATACATGAACACAGCGTAGTACACCCCGTACAGCAGCAGCAGTAGCAGACAGCGGGCACCCCCCAGCGCAGACAGGAACAGTCGATACACATCAAGGCTTACCTGGTAGATACAGTTCTAGTTTGTTTGTTTGGATTTTAAGAGCCCCAATATTAACAATTTCCATATGATAGGGACCAACAAATAATTTAGAAAAGACATCCCAGTGACTGACACGAGCAGTGCTTCACGTCGTTGGATATAATGTCACGCTATTAAGACACCGCCCGATACATTCAGTCGACATCGCTACTGAGGACCTTTTCTAAACCGGAACCCCGTGATTAACCGAATGAAACTAGTTTTATGCCACAGAGCTTCCAGCTACGTCGCTGACTCGTGTCATCGTGTCCCAGTTGCGTAGACCGATGCTCACGCTGTTGATCACTGGATTATCTGATCCAGACTCGATTATTTACAGCGGCCGCCATATAGATGGAATATTGATGAGTGCGGCGTAAAACTAAACTCGCTCATTCAATCACACCAGCTGCTACGACTCTGTTTACCCTATGTAAGATATATCAGGGGCGGATCCCCCTTCTCACCCGACAAAGATTCCCTGAAGAGCATGGACAAAGATACTGGCCATCACGGCACAACGACACGCCATCAGCCATTCCACCCATTGTAACCCGAACAGCCTCGTTAGTCATGTGGTGCATATTAAAGTAACCACGTATTTCAAAAGGGTATATGCATCAGTATGTCCTACCCCGCCAACTCTCGTTTCCTCCTCCGTGATTATCTTTGATTCTGATGGCTGGACTTTAGTCGAAGAATTTGGCCTGTAAGACATAAATATATACTCATGCCAATAATGGTTGTCACTCCCTTCAATTTTTTTAATTGGAGAGGGGATGTGGGGTGAGGGTGTGAGGTGAGGGAGGGGTTGGGTTGGGGGGTAGCAACCAATTGGCATGAGTATACAAACGGTTTGTCAATCAAGAAAATGTAATTCTCCATCTAGTTTTGTAAATGAGCATAGTTACGCCCCTGTACAACAAATGTACACTGATATGTATTAATTCATCTTTGCCATGTCAATTACCATTGCACATTATTCTCCTAATGGACGGCTTTACACAAACGCCTATCTTAGAACTGCTTACACTCTGTTCCAGGATTTGGGCATGGACCCTGGGTCCTCGTCGGTGGATAGATACCACTCAAACACTGTCCACATTATAAGGAGAATTTAAAATGAACACTGAATAGATTTGTCTATGAAAGGGTTACAACACTAGAACCACCAGACCGTTTGGTCCAAACACTCAGTTTTCACAACATTTGGTCCTTGCGGTAGCTTGAGTCAGTAAGCTGGATAAGTTTGAGCAACCACCAATTTGAACTCTATTTCTTGCCGTGGAAGAAAGCCCGAAGTGCGGGTATTATACGTCGCTTTAGTGAGATCCACGAGCACGGCCATGGTGACGGCGTATCTCGGAGAAACTGGGGCAAATGAAGAATCCCAACCAACCAACCAACCTCCGTCCCAGGTTAGACGATCATTAAGACCGAATATTTATAAGCGTCTGTATACAATACACAACTTATTAACTCGTCACGAAACAGTTTGTGTGATCTTTAACTAAACACTCCACAGAACTGCAGCAATATATGAAATACCTGACTCTCTACCAGACAAACCAGTGATTAATGTTATGAGCAACTATCTACGTCTTCCGGGCATGGTGACATACAATCAACCATGTCATCTAGCCACGCCACTCCCCTCCATTACGTCGCCTCTGACGTCCAGCAGAAGATGCTGGGAACTCTCTACATCCCGGGATGCCACGGGGTGCTGGGAACTCTCTACATCCCGGGATGCCACGGGGTGCTGGGAACTCTCTACATCCCGGGATGCCACGGGGTGCTGGGAACTCTCTACATCCCGGGATGCCATGGGGTGCTGGGAACTCTCTACATCCCGGGATGCCACGGGTGCTGGGAACTCTCTACATCCCGGGATGCCACGGGGTGCTGGGAACTCTCTACATCCCGGGATGCCACGGGGTGCTGGGAACTCTCTACATCCCGAGATGCCACGGGGTGCTGGGAACTCTCTACATCCCGGGATGCCACGGGGTGCTGGGAACTCTCTACATCCCGGGATGCCACGGGGTGCTGGGAACTCTCTACATCCCGGGATGCCACGGGGTGCTGGGAACTCTCTACATCCCGGGATGCCACGGGGTGCTGGGAACTCTCTACATCCCGGGATGCCACGGGGTGCTGGGAACTCTCTACATCCCGGGATGCCACGGGGTGCTGGGAACTCTCTACATCCCGGGGTGCCACGGGGAAACAGACAGTTACAAAGCGGCCTTTACACGGCAAGTTTAAGTTTAACAACTCAAGTTGTTACTTTTTTTTAAAGTTGTCAAACTCGCCTTTTCACACGTCAAACACATGTTGTCAAACTTTCGTGTCATTTGAGCTCCATGTCTCTATTGGTGCGGTCACATGACAATTTCGTTGACTGCGATTGGTTGTTTCTGAACAACACGAGTTTGACAACACTTCACACGTCAAACTCAAGTTTGACAACACCGAAAGTTTGATGGAAAAGTTGATGAGAATAGAGACCGATCCTATTTCTCGACAACTGTTTGAAAACTCTGAAATTGGTGTTGGTGGCGAGTTGTTGAAATGTTCACACTCTCAAACTCGAGTTTGACAACATGTGTTGTCGGACACCAGTTCATACCTTGTTGGACCGGTAGCACCAGGAGAGTTTTCCAAGCTGAGTAGATCTGAAAAATGTCACATACAACTTCTATTAATGTTTAGTAAAGGCGACCACTTGCAGTAATAGCACGGAACTAATACACATATATGTATAACGAAACTGTATGATTATATTCCCATTTAACATTTAACAGTTTATCATTAGTTTGCTCTTCATTTGTTTAAATGATCACCTTTGTTGCTTGTGTTGTAATCTGATTGACTGTGTTTCAGCATGACGGAGAAGGGACCGCCGTTGACCATTAACTGACTGTAGGAGCCGGACTCCGTCACCGACCCCCCGCTGACCACCAGTATATGGTCCACGTGAGGCAGAACAGCCATGTTGTGGGTGACCAGTACCCGAGTCTGCAATGGTTTAAATGTTGCTAACCGCGGCACGCAGCAATTGTTACACTAAATCACCTGGTCTCTGAGCCCAGTTCTGGTGTTCCCAGCGTTGCACCAATTGTTTCACTAAATCACCTGGTCTCTGAGCCCAGTTCTGGTGTTCCCAGCATTGCAGCAATGAAATTGCTGGAATATTTATAAAAGTGACATTATATATAATCAATCATATCTCTAGTAAATGTATGCTGGGGTACAAAAACTATTAAGTACTAAGCGATGACCTTGTTTTTCAGGATTCCGTTGTTGCTGATGACGCTACTGAAGATGTGTCTGGCTACGTGGTTATCCACGGCGCTCAGGGGGTCGTCAAGGAGGACGATATCAGCATCACTGTAGACAGCCCTTGCTAGAGACACTCTCTGCTTCTGTCCGCCACTCAAGTTGATCCCCTTATTTCAAGATAGGAACCATTAAATATAAAAGAAGCCATATATTTTTTCCTGACAAAACGTCACATGAACCACGACAAACAAGAACCCGCAGTCATTTTATGTATGCTATATAAAAAAGGAAAACATAGGTTCCAGACTGAACAAGACTGCAAGCCGAAGGTGAAGTTGTCAGTCTTCAAAATGCATTGAAATCGCTATCAGTGGTTTACTCCTGTTACATGCATTGCTCCCTCTACCCCATCACTTGGAGTCTCTTCAGATGCCCCTCAGTCCTCATTGTACTTCAGACTGCGTATATTCAAGAAACAGATCACAGTTAGAAATCGCACTCGCTAAATCGTCCCGTGAGGTTAAAACCAAATCTGACAAAAGCGTATTAAAAACTGTGTGGTATTACTTCTGTTATTCTACACCAAGTCTTGTCCCCAACGTTATATGATCTTCGTCTGGCACACGCACCCCTGACACATGAGGGCGTGTCAGCTTCCTGTTTGAGGAGAGACCAAAGTACAGACACTGACCAGTTTGTTGTTTTCCGACGAGCAGTGGTATATGCTGACAAAACAACGACGATATAAATTTATATCATATCCACGGCGATTCTGGGTTCGACCTGACGATGTTTGGTAGTTCCGAGCAGCTTAAATAACCCATCATCATGATCGTGCCCTGACATCCTGCGGCGTACGGTATGTCATGAATTAATTTGATCAACTGAAATGGCTGAGATATGTCATAGAACGGATCTATTTGCTGAGCCAACCTTATATAGGTGATGGCATGTTATACGTTCACCTTCTCGCCTATCTCCACCTGGTCACCCCCCGGAAACTGGGCGAGGTCGGGGTTGAGGGCACATGCTTCCAATATGTCTTCATATCTCAGCTTCTCCAGCCGCTGTCCGAAGAGGATGTTCTCTTGCAGGGTGACGTTCTGGATCCATGCCTGTTGAGGGAGGTACGCTGTGCGGCCCTGGGAGAAGACATACAGGTACGTAACTATGGTTACCGTATCCCCGTATCCTTGTTTAGTATCACAACTGGATCGACCGGTAAACAAATATGTCAATGACAACCTACTTCGACATCTAACATAACATATTTTTCAAAACGAACAGAACATTTTTTTTTAATCTGAAGACCCGTCCTTCATCAGTTTCCACCAAACCGGTACACCTGATTTTATCAAAAGTTTCATTACAAATATATTCAAGGAAATGAATAAGGGAACACATGAAAGTACAAGTGTTCCTTTATTTTTTTCCAGAATGTCACTCACATTGCAATACAAAGCATGCGAAGAAACCTGGAAAAGAGTATAGGTACACTTGTACTTTCATGTGTTCCCTTATTCGTTTCCATGAGCATTTAACATTGTTTTATTTTGGAAGATAAAGACGGCTGACTCCTCGAAAACGCCACCAGAGCTTTGTTTGTGATACTGATTATGAATGCAGATTTGGTTCCTGGTGCTATTTAGCGAGACCTGATATCTTTGACTACTGAATGAAAGCATCAGCAGCGATTGACGACAAACGTTCAGATCACCGAGCTTGATTATCGGAGCTTTGGTCTGACAAGACTGATGTGGCAAGTACTGTTAATGTTTCTATATATTTGCACCACAAGTTTTACTTATCACCTTCACATGCACGTGGCCCGTGAGTTTTTCCATCTCTCCGAGTATCGCCGACAGCATGGATGACTTGCCGGCACCAACTGCTCCAACGACAGCCGTAAGACTGCCTCTCGGTATCTTCAGGTTCAGACTGTAAGGAAACATTATGTATTATTATTATTATTGGATATTTATATAGCGCACATATCCACGTACTAGTGCATGCTCAAGGCGCTGGTATTTTCTTTCTCTCGATCATTGGATGTCATTTTCAACGGCACATTTACTATCAATCTCGACTCCCTGGGGAGCCTACAACTCTTGCTGCCACAAGGCGCACCGAGTTCTTGCGGCTTTCCCATCCTTACGAGGTACCCATTCACAGCTGGGTGGACTGGGACACATAGTCACAGTACTTTGTCCAAGTTTACTGCACGTTGCTGTACCCCCACTAGGTGTTTGCACGTATTCATGTGGCCACCATCTGGTCATATACCAACGGAATCGTGGGTTCTTTGAAGTGCACAGGGTTGTGTACTGTACACTAGGGGTTGTGACAACACTGAAAGAGTCTGCACATAAAGTTGACACCAAGGTTTTACACCCGGTCACAGGTGGGTTCGATCCTGGCACCTCATTCTCGCTGGATCACTCGCCCGCTCGCCCTCCATGCCCCCAAACATAACCAGAGCGATAGCTAGACGGGTTTACCGGCACTGTGTCCACGTGGTGCAGGGCGGACAACAAAGGCAAGTTATGTCAAAGTGGACAGTATCAATTCTAATTTGGCTTTCCATAAACAAACTGCAAATATTTATGGATCAAGGTGTTTTATGTTTTTTATTTGATACATTTAGTTGTAATATTCATATTGGAAACAAGATCTGCTTCTAATTTAAGAGGCCGGTATGAGTAGCAAAAGCGTTAGTTCCCATACTGATTCCTGGCCGGCCACTCACCCTCACTAACCCTAAACACGTATGATGTCATCGAAGGGCACAGATTTGGGCTGACAAACCAAGATTCACAGCCGTATATCGGCAATTTTCATCATTTTACCAACATAAGTTACTTGAAACTTCTTCATCCCCGGACCCCCACGAAGAAGGACGTTCATATTGAAGATATTACCATTTTAGGACAAATACTCTTTCATCATCCCAGACAAAGGTGCCGTTTTGAATATCGACAGCAGAATCTGCAACTAATCAGAACAGATAAATATGTTAGTTCAATTAGAATTCACTTTCGCATTTTTCTGCGTTTCTGGAGTTGCTCAATTTACTGCACTCTGTATGGATGTCGGATTTTACATTTACCACTCAGCAAACAGAATAAGGTACTGCATATAATCAGGAAATAGTAGTCTCTTAAATGGACGTGGGCAAAACATATTAGTTAAACTATCAACAGACAGGCCTTACCGCATGGTTTATCAGGGCTGTCACCATCTGTTTTATGGTCGTCCTCAAGGAGAAAGGTTCGAATCCGACCGAGATGGAGGTTGATCTGAAGGAACAACACATGTCACAGTCAGCAATATCCCACCTATCTAAAGGCGGCCTTCAACGAGTCAACCAGTGACCGACAGCATGAGCACACTAGCTGTTATATGTGTGGCCGAAGATTAGGGGATTGTTGTCATATTACTGATATTATACGGTAAACAGATCAAATGTTATAACTTTCTGTCATGTATACATGCTCATGTTACCGAGTGTCAGTGTTGGATGTTCAGTTGAAGCGACATGACGAAATTTTAAGTGGTATATTGTACAACACGTGACATATTGACACAATTACGTTATCTAAACAATAGTTCTCTTCTTTAATTTTTGTAATATAATACGTCGTTTTTCTGTAACTGGAATTGTAGCAGGTGGCTGGTTATCCAATTAATGTTATCAATATTGTATTTTTGCGTTCGTGGAGTTATAAACGGGGAAGATAACATCATACAATCGAAACGTCAGCAATTTACACTTCACAGATTCTTTGTTTAATCATTAACACAAAAACGGTGGACAATGATAAAGACAACAATCAGTGACATTATTCAGTACAATAATCACTTCAGTGCATAAGTCCGTTAATGGAGGAGGACTATTTTATTTCAGCTTGCATGCAATTTTCTAATCAGTTACCTTCAGGAAGAACAGGAACACAAGCGACGTCTCGTTCAAGCTGTATTTGAGAATGTTGAGGTAGGAGACGACGAGAAAGGCGGTTTGGGCGTCCAGCATGTCCCCGGTCAGGTACACATAGGCGGCAAACGTTACCACGGACATCTGTCACAGATACTGCGTAGGTGTATACATAACATACTCTTGCTGATCTGGATACAGCGTAAGTGTATACATAACATACTCTTGCTGATCTGGATACAGCGTAAGTGTAGCAAAACTACTTGGAGATCTGACACAGGTTTCAAACCGATAATATTTTCAATCTGTAGAGATAATAAAGGTACAGCTGCGTTTTTGTCATCAACCAAACTGGTGCAGATCATGTTCGAGATGCTGTCTCCCAAAGAATATTTAATAGTGCATAACTGTACTGTTTACTTAATGTCTTTGGAACTAACGTTTACTATATGTAGCAATGAGCGCCAGAGGGCGAGAACGATAGTAATTGTGCAACCAATAGTAACTGAACCTATATATACGTGGAAGTGAGTATAGATTGAAGCAGCTTTGACCATCACCTCAGTCGTGATGTGGGATTCACCTCAAAGCTTTGCAGATCTTACATGGGAAACTCTGGAGTACAGCTATGGTGCTGTCAAACCACGAATTGGAGTCAGAGTGAATCTTGGAGACTACATCAACAGGATACAGGAAGGAGAAAGTAGCTAGTGCGCTACACGTGCCTCTAAAACTGGTCCAGTTGGTCCGACCTGAGACTCAGAACTTTAACGGAGACGAATGCCATATATGGAAGTACTGTATTACCAGATACGGCACGACTGTCCAGGAGAAGCTGAAGAGGGCCGAGACTGTGTAGAACCGTCTCAGGACGCCAAGTTCGTCCTCTCTAGCCGACATCACCCTCTGCCCGAAACACCGCTCCCATGCATTCAGCTTCACAACCTGCACGTAGAAAGCAGACATGGATCGCCCCGTGAGGATACCCGGACAGAAGGGGACCCCGTACCCATGCATTGCCTTGAGTGAGTGAGTGAGTGAGTTTAGTTTTACGCCGCTTTTAGCAATATTCCAGCAATATCACGGCGGGGGACACCAGAAATGGACTTAACACATTGTGCCCATGTGGGGAATCGAACCCGGGTTTTCGGCGTGACGAGCGAACGCCTTAACCACTAGGCTACCCCACCGCCCCAGCATTGCCTTGAAGTGGAGGTTAGACGGAAGAGTGGGACCAGCACCCAAAATTTATAATTATGCTCCAAAGGGAATTTCTGATCGGTTTTCTACCTGGAAAGTATTCAAGGTCAGGATAAGTTGCCTGAAGCTTGATGCTTAGCATTCCTTTGTTGCCGTAAGATCAGAGGTCATCTCACCTTCATGCCGTTACAACAGAGACAACTCACTTCATGCCGTTACATCAGAGATCAACTCACTTTGAGGTCGTTACATCAGAGATCAACTTACCTTGATACCGTTGAGGACCTCTGTGAGCAGCTTCATCCTCTGCTCCGTCTTCTTCATCCTCTCCTTGTCAATGATCTCCGCTCTGTCCGTCATCAGCAGGTTGGTCGGGATGAGCACCAACATCACCGCCAGGGCAAACACGGCCGCCACACCGAGCAGGTTGAACAGGCGATAGAATATGACCACCGCTAGGAGAGGGCTGAGGATGATCGTGCTCAGTTGATCAACATAGGAGCCGACCTGGCTGGCATTGACTGACATCAGAGTGGTGAGTTCGCCCAGGGAATACTTCTGTCGAGCTTTGTTGGACATCGACAGACTCTTGGTTTTCAAAGGGCAAACATAAACATAATTTTTGTTAAATATTTGAAATGTCATTTGTAAAATCTACAGGATGCCGTTAAGAATAAAATAATGGAATATCACTACTGCAATGATGGCAGAGGTATTGATATCGGAATAAGCCGAGTAGACCTGAATGAATGATTTCTGATACCTTCTTAAAGATAGCAGAGTACATGGCTGTTCTGACACTGCGTCCGAGGCGACTGGAGCCATCAAAGGAGTGCTCAATGAAGATGCTGAACCCGATCTGGTTTAGGAAGAAGGCCACGATGAGACCCAGACCACGCCCCTGTCCCGTGGGTCCAGCGTCAATGTAGGTGATGAGTTGGCTGCACGGAGTGAGTGAGTGAGTGAGTTAATGTTGTTTTACACTGCAGTAAGCAATGCTACAGACATGATGAGGTGTTATGAATAACCGTTTCTGGGTAAGGAATACGAGAGGTCAATCAGGGAGGTCACACATTACAACCACCTAATCTCCAACTGTGAGACCGTACAAGCACTAGGTACACGAGAGCTGTCTAGTCCCGGATGTCGCAGGATTCGACTGCACTAAGATGTCAAGAGTCCCATTCCCGTCTTTCGTAATATTCCTAACATAGACTGATGTTAGTGTTTGTGGCAAGTAAACTCTTCAAAAAAGGAAACGCACAGGCCAAAAAATAGAAATTATTCAACGTATTTAAGTGTACATAGGACGATTAAACTTGAACATAGATGAAGGAAATTCGACACACAGATGAACATATGCATTGTTGTCATGGTCAGCATTAATTCAGTTCACTCACTGTACATGTGTGGACACAAGGGGACGTTCAGGTCAGTATCTGGTGACACCATCCATTGCAGCCGCCACTGTTCGACACACCTTGGAAGGGATTGCACAAATCGTCGGATTTTTGCTTGGGGAACTCTACGCCATTCCTCCTGCAACGCGTTGGTAATTTCTGCAAGTGCCGGAGGACGATAGTGGCGTTTACCGACGCGTCGATTAAGTTCGTCCCATAGATGCTCGATTGGGTTCAGATCAGGCGATTAACGTTTGGATTGGCAAGGTAGGCACCGGTTACACGAGCTGTGTGAGGTCGAGCGTTGTCGTGTTGAAACAGCTCTGTCTGGCGGTTAAAAAGTGGGAGGAGGTAAGGTCGCAGGATTTGGTCGATGTAGCGATTTGAACCACCACTAGCTCTGATCTACCCGTGTAGGACATGGGTCCCCACACCATGACGCTTTCTCCACCAAATTGGTCCACTTCTCTAACGCAGTTTGGCGTCGATAGACACGCTGTCTCCCAGGAAAAGCGATTCATCGTTGAAGGAGGAAACGCGATTTATCGCTGAACCAAACGCGTAGCCAGTTCCTGACGATTTCTGATGGTTTGGTCGGAAATTATTGGAAGACCAGGCAGCTGGCCTGCATTGTCCATCGCTGTAGCAAATCGGTGACGTAGGTGAACCGCCCGGATGAATCGGTCCTGAGCAGGACCGGTCTTCGACTTCTGGGACGATCCTGAGTCGATGCCATAATCGAGATATGATGCTGTGGTGGACGTTAAAGTGTCTTGCAATGGCAGACTGGGATTCTCTTGCTTCCAAACGTCCAATGGCGATATTTCGGTCAGTAACATTCAATCTTGGCATTTTTTATCTTCGTTTATGACGTACATTTTGTTATGACATGATGAATTTGGTTTGGCCTTTATCGTCGATGTCTCTATCCGACACATTGCACGTCCATTACGTGGAAAACGTTTTCTACATGCATTTTTTATGTATTGTTTTTATTTTTATGACAAAAGTTTACAACACATTTTGGGATGCGTTTGCTCACAATAATCAACAACCACGACATGATTAACGGAATTCAAACATAGGAATTGTCTTAATGACGATTGCTGTCAAAATATATCGAAATGAACTGCTGAAAACGCCCGTGCCTTTCCTGTTTTGAAGAGTGTATGTTATTTCAGATCCTTTCGTACCCACCAACTTATGCTGGTCGTACAAGGGGATTTAGTGGATCTGGAGGTCAGTCTTGGTGACTTGATTAACGATCTGTCTTTGTATCCAATTTCCATGGATCGTTGTTTATAAAGGCATTCGGATTCGGTTATTTATACAACGCCATCATATTTTGGAATATTGCATGGTCCGGCATTAAACAACAGATATTTCAGAGCTAACAAGCATCAATTGTCTTGTTCAATCATTTATCGAAAGTTCCCTTGACTAAAATGTTACTGACCTTGACTAAAATGTTACTGAAATGAAATATATTATTTCAATATGAAGTTGTTCTTTGTGAGACGGACAATGAATGATGACCTTTTCCCGTGACATTTTCCTTCTTTACATACCGTAAAATAAGCGGAGCATTCACGGTACATGCGAACTGGATGAGACGGCAGCACTGAGCAAACAGAAACATCCAGCTGAACGACCTGACCAGGGCCCAGACCAGGGATGGGGAGCGGCTGTGTCTGGAGGGATAACAGTAATGACGATAGATAACATTGTACATGTTGATTATATCCCACCAAACAAATACTGTAATATCTCGGCTCAGGGAGTATTCGTCTATCGCGAACGCAGGAATGGCGCTGACAGATCAAGGATCATTAAAGGATCCGGAATCGAACCCAGGACCAGGGGTGTTTAGTCTTAATCCTTAACACAGAATCATGTTGGGACACATCGTTTATGAGAAATCCCAGAGTCCTGTTTGGGAATCATGGTGAAGGATGCTGCACCTTGTGGTGTTTGGCCAGAAATAAGACGTCACCTGGACGTCTGTGACGTCTCATCACTTGTACACAGTCCGCCATGTGAAGTAGAAGTCTTCTCGTTCCTACTATCGTGTCTGCTTACACTGACGATGTTCATAATTTAAACTTTGCATTTTTACCAGAACATGGTCATTGTGTAAACTGACAAATCACACATCCACACAGTCATTTCTTGTAGAATTAGTCCCCAAAGCATTATTACAATGGAAATTGGGTCGGCAGGCGACGTGTTTGATTGCGTATCATTGTACATCAACAGAACGGTGCTAATGATGCCAAGCACTGGTTCGATTGGTGAAGACTTTGACATTAACAAAAGGCTTAACATATTACTGATCGGAGTACATTGATCCGTAGATTGGGAAAATGAAGGATTCTCATTTGCCATACGTTTAAAATATACTCATGGAAACGTATTAGGGAACACATGAAAGAACAAGTGTTCCTTTATTCTTTTCCAGGTTTCTTCACAAGCTTTGTACAGGGGCACCTAGGTTCGGGTCCCGAGATGGGCACATTTGCGTAGTATCCTTGGACAAGATACTTAGATCCACATTGTCTCAGTTCACCCAGCTGTAAAATGGGTACCCGTGAGGATGTGCTGGTAATGTGAGTGTTTAATTCATTGCGCTTAACAGGCAGCATGATTGTATGATCCCCAGGGAAATGAAAAAGTATCGGAAAGTACAACAGTGTCCTATGGCCGGGGATAGTTATGTACGTAGCGCCGTGAGCAGGCAATGTGCCAGGATATGAGCGCCATATAAACGGACTATTACTATTACAAGCTTTGTATTGCACTGTGGGCGAAATTATGGTAATAAATAAAGGAACACTAGTACTTTCATGTGTTCCTTTATTTGTTTCCATGAGTATATACCAATAACTACCTCTGAATGACACAAATTGGAAACTCTTCCGCCCGAGTTCGTTTCTATATTCACTGTTGAGTCGTATATATAACTACAAGTAACCTTGATCTGTCATTTCCCAATACACACGCTCCTGTAGCAATAATTCTTTGACGCCTACTGGTGACAATCATTAATTTTCACAACATTATTCACTCTCCTTATAAAGATCCGCAAACAAGGTATTTATTTCTTTTGAACAGGTACATGCAAATATACAATGTAACAAAATGTTCAGAAATGTTTACAAAATGTAAGTCAACTGTTTTATTACCTTTTCTCCTTTGACCATGATGTTTCCACAACGCTGTCGATGCTGCTGCATTGGTCTTCTTCTGAGATGTCGCTGACATCATCTTCACGCAGCACCTTCTTTTCTCCCTTTGTGATAAGTCTGGTATTTGTGGAAATACAATTGCCCTTATTAACAGGTCTTGGTGATTTTGTGTTCGTCAGAAAGCAGATACACTGGACCATCGTGGTTTGCAGTTCGACTTGAAGTGTGTGTGTTAACCGAAGTGAGCGAGTGTGAGGGAATTTACGCCGCATTTAGCAATATCAGGTCGGGGAACGTACCCGTATACCCATGTTGGGAATCGAAACAGAATCATTGGTGTGTCGAGCGAACGCTTTAAACACTAAGCTAGCGCACCGCCTCCGAACCGAAGTGTGAACAGAGGATAGTCTGCACTGACCATGTCATTTTACGTTATTTAAACGAAAAGCAAAACGTTTCAGAATATTATCAGATGTTAGGGACAACACTACCTTAAGGAAAGCACTACAGACTTACTTTACAAATAAATGCCATCCAAGTTATTTATTTTTTTACTTTTTATATGTCGGACACTAAATGTTTGACGGCGAATTACCGGTTCAAAGTTGCTGAGGCTCAGCAATATGTCAAGTATCAGAACCAAATCAGGCCTGAAACGTCCTTCTATACAAATGTAAATACAGTTTAAGATACCTCAATGTCATCGACATATCCGGATAAGGAGGAGTATACCCACATCACCTAACCTTCTCCCACATCATCTAACCTTCTCCCACATCACCTAACCTTCTCCCACATCACCTAACCTTCTCCCACATCATCTAACCTTCGCTCACATCACCTAACCTTCTCCCACATCATCTAACCTTCTCCCACATCACCTAACCTTCTCCCACATCACCTAACCTTCTCCCACATCACCTAACCTTCTCCCACATCACCTAACCTTCTCTCACATCACCTAACCTTCTCCCCCACATCACCTAACCTTCCTCCCACATCATCTAACCTTCTCCCACATCATCTAACCTTCTCCCACATCACCTAACCTTCTCCCACATCATCTAACCTTCTCCCACATCACCTAACCTTCTCCCACATCATCTAACCTTCTCCCACATCACCTAACCTTCTCCCACATCACCTAACCTTCTCCCACATCACCTTGCCTTCTCTCACATCACCTAACCTTCTCCCACATCACCCTAGCCTTCTCCCACATCATCTAACCTTCTCCCACATCACCTTACCTTCTCCCACATCATCTAACCTTCTCCCACATCACCTAACCTTCTCCCACATCACCTAACCTTCTCCCACATCATCTAACCTTCGCTCACATCACCTAACCTTCTCCCACATCACCTAACCTTCTCCCACATCATCTAACCTTCGCTCACATCATCTAACCTTCTCCCACATCACCTAACCTTCTCCCACATCATCTAACCTTCTCCCACATCACCTAACCTTCTCCCACATCATCTAACCTTCTCCCACATCACCTAACCTTCTCCCACATCACCCTAACCTTCTCCCACATCATCTAACCTTCTCCCACATCACCTAACCTTCTCCCACATCACCTAACCTTCTCCCACATCACCTAACCTTCTCCCACATCACCTAACCTTCTCCCACATCATCTAACCTTCTCCCACATCACCTTACCTTCTCCCACATCACCTAACCTTCTCCCACATCATCTAACCTTCTCCCACATCACCTAACCTTCTCCCACATCATCTAACCTTCTCCCACATCATCTAACCTTCTCCCACATCACCTAACCTTCTCCCACATCTCCTAACCTTCTCCCACATCATCTAACCTTCTCCCACATCACCTTACCTTCTCCCACATCACCTAACCTTCTCCCACATCACCTAACCTTCTCCCACATCACCTAACCTTCTCCCACATCACCTAACCTTCTCCCACATCACCTAACCTTCTCCCACATCACCTAATTAGCAGAGAGCCCAGAACGCCTAATATCTGTTCCCAAGTGGGGGTGTCCTCCCCGTTCTCCATTAATTCTTACAACAACATCTAACAATGATAATAATAATTCAGTTTACATAACACATGAAATCATGTAACTGCAAAATATGGGAATCATTTTGCATAGAGATTTCTTTTGAAACACAATGCAAGTGCCTTCAAAATATCAACATTTGTTGAAGACATAAGTTGTACAGGGCTCCAGATAAGGGCCGTATCGGCATATGTACGGATAGAAAATTGCACGATACGATAGGAAATAATTTAGAAAACGTAGCAGATACGCACCACAGCAATGGTGAAAGGTCTTAGAATCATTTACAGATGTATTTATCTGAAAAAGTATTGTTTTATTGTTTATTGACCTGTTTACACAAGAGTAGCAATGTTGTGGTGCATATATGAAACGAAACACAAGATTACTGATATGCCATTAAATTCCATTCAGTACTCTAAATGTACTCTTAAGTTTTTCCAGTACTCCTTTATTGAAAACATAAGGAGTACGTACTCCTGATGTTGAAAATTATCTGGAGCCCTGATTGCAAAGCAATAGTTTCACATGCACGTGACATGTTTCTGATTACTTGAAATAATTGACCATTGTTTCGCAGAGGAAAAACAAATCATAGTTACTGACAAATGTGATAAACTCAAAATCATTCAACTTAGAAAAAAAAACCCGTTAATGTTCCATGTGCATAGTTTTTAAACTGAGTTCTCACAATCCTGTGTGATTTTTGTGTCTCTATACCACTGATACTTGTATGAGCCGGCGATGGACCACGGCCGAGTTAATTTATCAACTGAATATATAAAATATATATAAGATATATAAAATATATTCATTAATGGTATCACTGCGTTTTGTCATCCTTTTACTCCGACTTGGTAGCTGAACCCCCTCTGATCACAAGATATGGACTATCCCACACCCACTTAACCTAATCCTGAGTAATCAACCAGGCATGACATACCCACATCACCTAATTAATTGTCCTTACGGTTGTACCCCATAACCCCTACATGCCATTACCCCTACACCCCAGTACCCCTACAATTAGTTAAAACAACACACGGCATTTACCTGTCTGGCATAATGGACTGACCCAAGGAGAGATTAGTGCATAGAGTATACAGATGAGATCAAGGGAGGGATTAAGCTGTTGTTTATTGTTTTGTGTCAAGGAAATTTGGGATCAGCTAAAAGTTGATTAGTTTCATGATGCCAAAGAATGGAAGGTTTCATTCAATCCTAACAAAACAAAATCAATACAGTTCAGTAGAAAACTAAATAGAAGCATTGAACCTGATCTTACAATGAACGGTGTGATAACCAAGACGTAGATAATCATAAGCATCTTGACCCTTCAAAATAATTGTTACTGGGATATTCACATAAACTCTATGAAACGAAAGTTAGCCCACTGATACAATAAAACTGTGGAAATCCCTGAGTTCGGAAATTCAAAATATTGATACTTTATCCCGATTCAAAAACTCGATATTAAGACAATATAACAAAACTATTATTTTTGATCTAAACTGATTTGATTTGAATGCTGATAGGTTTGATAGACATCATCGACAGCCCCTCGTGCTCATGTGGACATCCAGTCGAAAATGCTGTGCATTATTTCTTTACATGCAATAAATACACGGAATTAAGACATAAATCATATTTCTATTTAAAGGGGTTTAGTATCAACAATGTACTATGGGTATCAACACTGTACTATGGGTATCAACACTGTACTATGGGTATCAACACTGTACTATGTACATTGAATGTTAACAATTAATTGTTAATGTTCAACAATTAATCATGATGACAACTTATTGTTAATCCTAATGGGTACAAATTAGGTGAAGTAGGGAGGACACCGGATAATAAAGTTCGAGTTTTCGAAGATTCGTTATATAGGACGGAAGAATGACTCACCCATTGGCCCAGGCAAAGGAGATTCGTGAGAGCAGAGACGAGAGGTGGAGAGGCGACGGACGGGGCTGTATATGATATTGATCGGGAATATTATATTGTTGAGGAATGAACACATTAGTTAGGTCACACTATATAGGATATTGTATTGCATCCAAACATGTGATGTAGTTGCATAACCGTTGACGGATGTTATTCAAACAAACCATGAAGTTAAGTTGGACTAATTATCTAGTGTGTTTCACCAAGTGAGTGAGTGAGTGAGCTGGGTTAAACGTCGCTATGAATGATATTCCGGTTATGTTGCGGTACGTCGGCTTGGTGTGAGAGGAAAGCCAGAAGGGGAGCATGTCTCACATGTCGATCAGTAACGTGCTCGTGGGTTTCAGCAAAGTGTATACATCTATTTGTGTGCAGCACTTCCGAGTTCTAGCCAAGCCATCTGACACGTTAAAACCCAGCTCACTCACTCGCCCAGAGTTACCAACATCAGTTAAAAAGAAAAAGTAAAGTAACAACATGGGCAATGGGGTCTCTATACATATACTAGTTAAAATAGAATTTCCTATAGTCGGAGTTAAATCAACAGTCCATGGCGAAAAAGTGAGCCAGTATGTCACGTCGTTCAACACGAAGGTCAACTTGAGGGCGAAGATTGGAGAACAAATGTTGAGACAGATGACACAAAGTAAAGCGGCGCTAAAATCTCAAGTCTGACCAAAAACCCTCATGCGGCTCAAATCCGGCCAAGAACTAAACGTCCTACACCTCGTGCAGTCCATATCCAGTTTAGAACGATACGTTATAATACTTGTCATGCAGTCATATCCAGTCTAGAACGATACGTTATTATACGTGTCATGCAGTCCATATCCAGTCTGGAACGATACGTTATTATACGTGTCATGCAGTCATATCCAGACTAGAACGATACGTTATAATACGTGTCATGCATTCATATCCAGTCTAGAATGATACGTTATAATACGTGTCATGCAGTCCATATCCGGTCTAGAACGATACGTTATAATACGTGTCATGCAGTCCATATCCAGTCTAGAACGATACGTTATTATACGTGTCATGCAGTCATA